ACAAGGTGTAGCTCAGGGCGGAGTAGTCGGGATACGAGGACGATTTGAGGCCCTCCACGAGTCCGACGATAAGGGCTACGATGGCGACAACCACTCCGGCCGCAACAAGTGACTTGGTGAGTAACGACCAACCGCGCGGATCGTACCAGGGTTTTGTTGCGGCTGCCGTAGGCTTCGTGGACTTCTCCATTACTTCTGGATGAGTGGCTGCTGCGGCGTTGGTGCCGGTGGTGTAAGGGATATTTGTGAGCTCGTAGTCGGGATAGTCACTGGCCTGACTGGACAGGTTGCGGTACACCATCGATGTGCAGGGGATTGACAGTTGACCGGGCGGGATTTGAGAGAGTGCTATTACAATCGTCCAAGATTGTTCGCCGAAATTGGTGGAAATTATCCAAGGGTCACGATCAAGGTCGCGTAGCCCTCTCAAATACAGAGTAAAGGGAATCCCACCCTCGCCTCGGCAGTCCGATGCAGCAGACCCGGACCCTCTTTGTACATGCCGAACGCTGCGACAAGGGAAAAGGGTACGTACTGATAGGGCTCGGCCGCAGTCAGTGACACCGTTCGATCTGCCATGCTTACGTGTCTGGCCTCCAGGATGGAGGGACCAAGCCAACGAGAAGGAGGTACCAGGACGAAGGCATACGTAAGCACCTGGCTGTGCCAGCCAAATGATTCCTACGATGGCTGTCAAGTACCATGCCCTTCTATCTTTTTGGTTGTGAGTGCGATCATCATTGTACCGGTCCAAGGGACGAGAAGGGTCCGAATTTGGAGTTATCGAGCTCTACAGGGTCCAGTAGAGCAAAGGGTCTGGTGGCCGACTGAGAGATGATATGAAGCCGATGCATGCATGAATCAGGCTTTCCACGTCAACGGCCCACTTCTTGGCGCTTTGGTGCTAAAAGGAGTCTAGGCCCGCAGCGAGATTATGCACCTGTCCGGATTTTATTCATCGTCCGTGGTTGCGGCAGAATTGGCTTATCTGCTTGGAAGGGGAGTGGGCTTAGGAAGAACGCGGAATTCTGCATGATGATTCCCTAGTTACGGCTGTTTCATTAAGTGTCAGGTGATCCAGGGTCGAAATGGCATAATTTGGAAGTAACACCACGTGATTTTTAATGAGCTTAGTCAGTAAACCGGCCTCTTCTCTTTCTTGCACAACAAGATGCACAACTTTTTCCCTCCACCACCTCTCGAGTCTGTTTACCTGTCTCTGAAACTTCGGCCTGGTTGTCGCCACGAATTGTGGCTTAACACTCACGCGTCTGAATGACTCGTTCCGCCGAGCTCACCAAGATGGTCTGAAGTCCAGTCGGACCGAGTATCCCTGCGCTGGATAAGTTTCACAAGCTGTTAGGGAATCACGGGCAAGCATGTCGAGAGCTGATCCAAGATAGCCGGGTCTCCGGCTTGAGCGCTGAAGGATCAACCGTGGTCAGACACTCGCCGTACCGCAGAGCCTCTATTTGATCCGCTCGATCCGCTCGAGGAAATGCTGGCCCCGCAAGCCTGTCACCATGATGGTCGGACATGGATGACCTCAATCATGATCAAAGAATTTCGATGAGGCGCAGCATCTTAGCTGTCCTCGAGTGTCTAAAGCAATCACCGCTTATCCGGAGAGGAGCCACATAACAACTGCCTGAAAGGCGAAGACAAACTATCTTAGTGCTGCTACTGCCTCACGCTGCTTGGCCGGCTAAATTTAATAGCGCAGTCTTGTATCCAGGTACAGCCTAGCATCACAAACAAAGCACCGTCGCAGCCGAATGAGGATGACAGAATAGCGAGGCTTTAGAAAATCCCTCACGTGTCCTCACCTTCGCACCTCTTCGAGGTATAAATAGGACACAACACTCACCAGAGCAATTCTCGTTCTCCATCCACTCATTGCCAGATTCCACACCGGCACTTCTCGTTCCATCCCTCACTTTCCGATCCTTCTTACTGTCGAAACCAACCGCCGAAGATGCAGTGGATGTTCTACATCTCCATCCTTGGGGATCTGTTCGCTCTCTATGTCCGAATCACGACGGGAGAATGGTCGACTCAGGCCAAGTACTTTCTGCTCTGCACGCATTTGGGCCTGTGGGCTCGTGTCCTGCAGGCCGAAATACTGCACCAATGAATTATCCGTCCATGGGTGAGGACGAGTCTGCGGGGGTGGAAAAGGACGCGACTGTCAGGGTCGATGCTGTGAACGAGGGACATGCAACGCGACAAGGGAAATCATCCCAAGTGTACCCGATGACCCTTCCCAACAATAATTGCAGTTCTGCTGCTTTGCTTAAATCCTGTGAAACCCCGGTAACAGCCCCTGCGACACCTGCAAATGACAACCTCGGCATGACGTTCCGATACAACCAACCAATCGAAGACTCAGGACTTGTGCAATCCAAAAGAAAGTTGGGCCAAGCTACATCAGACTACGAATGGGGGAAGACACAAGAAACGAAGTGGAGGAGCAGGGCTGAGGCTTACGCGGTCAATCCGGCCAAGGGACATCTTAGCTACACACTTAGCCGAATCGGACAAGGTCAACTCCCGCTATAATCTCATTCTTGGCCTAAAGGGCTCACCGTCCGGACTCTCCCCGAGACTCGATCCTATTCGTAAAATCTCAGCATCACCAGTAGACAAATGTCCAGCCTATAAATGCAAGAATCGGGTGGTTTCGATAATGAAATTGCGGGGTAGAAATGATTAGAAAGGTATGTATGTACATTGCCGTAAAACAACTCCCAGCACTAACGCAGATGCGGATGCTGACCCTTACCCATAGCTCAATGCATAGCCCACGCGAGAAGAACCGAAAGCGAAAGCATAGCAATATTCACCGACTGTCCTAGCACCGCACCGCTACTGGGAACCACCGACGACGCGCTGCTCGGTGTCGCAGACGCGGAGGTCTGCGTGCCGGATTGCGTCTTGGAGACCGCCAAGCCCACGGTCGCATTCTCGACGTTGTGGTCGATGTACAGGCCCCGGAAGAAGGCTGCGAGACGTTAGCTCACTGATTCTGATCTGAAAAGGGAAAAGGAAAAAAGGGCAAAGGAGTAAGCAAAACATACGTTGACCGACCACCCACAGGGTCGGGTACGAAGCGACGGTCGCGCCCGAGAGCACCGCCGTGCAATTGTTGTTCCCGTTGTCGGCGGCGATCCACTGGTCGGCGGCGATGTTGAAGATGGCGCTCTGGTGACTGATCAGGTCGGAGTCCGCGGCGACGGCGGCGGTGGCATTGGCCTGCGAGGGGATGCTGAAGCCCACGGTGGGAGGGCTGTCGCAGGGGAAGTAGCCTGTGACGGTCACCCCGTCGCTAGTGTTCTGGACGACGGACTGGATGTTGGTCGCCTCGAAGATGGCGAGTACTTCTTCGACCGGACTATTCACCCATCAACATCGTCTCATGACTGCAAGGTTTGGGAGCAGAGACTCATCGACTTACCCGGTGATCGTGGCGGTTCCGGTGTCGAGCTCGATAGGCACATCCTTGGTAAGGAGGGTGTCGTTGACGGCCACGTCGGCAAAGAAGGCCCATTCCTGCACGATGGAGGTGGTGGTCAGGTTGCCTTCAAAGAGGGAGGTGTCCAGCTCGCCCAGCACCTGGGTTCCAGTCGAGTTGCTGCCCAGGACCACGCCAAAGCGACACGAAGAGACTTGACCCTGCTGGCAGAGCGCGTGGAAAAAGGGCGGCGCGCCGTTGGGGAATTGAGCCACTTCAACTCCGGCGAAACCCACGATCCCATCAGCGGGGATCAGCGCCGTGCCGTTGGCGGAGCCGATCGTCTGGTCGATGGTCAAGCTGCCGTATGTGATGGTGTCGTTGTACAGGGTGCCCGCTACCTGAATCGAGACAACTGGCGTTTAGCTATACACTTTTGACATGAGCACAGGAATTGTCACATACCGAGCCCGTCCCAGATCCATCGCTTTGGGTCGTTCCATAGCCGTTGTCGAATGTGAGATTGAGGCTGACCGATGCAGAGCTCGCGTTATAGTATCCAGGGTTGATGATCACATCGGAGGACCCCGTGTCAATCAGGAGATGGAGGTTCTTGGAGCTGCCGACATCAAAGCTGCCGAACCAGAAGCCCTACCACGAAGGTGAGTTGGGGTACGCATGAGTGAATGGGATCCGACCTACATCTGACTCAGAGACAGTCTCGATGCCATATTTGTCGCGACGAAACAACTTGGCTGCCGGGTCTGTGCGCCGTACTAATGGGATGTGCGAGGAAATGTGTCGAGGAGCTGAAGGCCGGGCACTTGCCAGGCACAACGGCAACGACCCGAGGGCCGTGAGGATCAACCAATGCTGAGGAGGGGCCATTTTGAACTATGAATTAAAGCCCCCGAAGTAGAGATTATTGGAAGAGTGCAATGGAAAACGTCGAGTGCATGAAGCTGAAGCTGAAGCCTCTCCGACAACTGCGAACATCTCTTCGACTTTATACACCATCTCGCATGGCTCGTGCTGTACGCAAGGCTGAGCTCGCACTCAACTTCTCCCAATGTAGGAATGGCAGACTAGGAGCAATATGGGAATTTGGGGTCCAAATCTATCTAGACTGAGGCTTGGGCGTTGATCTGCACCGGGTATATCGACAGGGAGGAGAGCCCTACTCAGCCCTCGTCTAATCAAATCCTGTGGATGAAACGCGGGTGGAGAGGGCGATGGCAGCAATCACTGGCCCGCTCGCATAGACTAACCCGACCCTGACTAGTCGCAGGATTGCACTAAATTGAGGCTCCTTAACTGACTTGGTTATAGGTGTTTAACCTAGTTTTAAAGTCGCTTGCGGCCACGTCGGCGGGTCTGACCGTCTGATGTTTCCCCCCTGCTGCATCCACTCACCGGCCTGCCCTCGCATACGCTAACCAACATAGGGTTGCCTCCAGACTGTCTCCCAAAGCTACACAGCCCAGCAGGCTGACAGCAACCAATTGAACCAAGGAATGAATCATTCTCCGCAACTCGGACCGAACGCGCCATGACGGGGAGACCCCAAGCTGCAAGGTCCCGCAATGGCTGCATCACCTGCAAGTAAGTCTGGGTTTCTACTGGTGTTCGTCCGGCAACAGAGCAACTCACCCCGACAGGATTCGTCGCGTGAAATGTGACGAGCAAAGGCCCGAGTGCAATCGGTGCGTGTCCACTGGAAGAACCTGCGACGGCTATCAGGATGGGTCCCAGTCCCAATCTCAGGCCCGGAAACCCTGCTCCCTGCGGATCATCCAGCATATCCCGCCGGGTCGGAAGATCCAGCCTGCAGTGCAGCTGAATGTCGATGAGCATCGCAGTCTGGAATTCTTCCACCACTATACCCTACCGGGTCTAGGACCAGAGGTGGGCTCGTATCTGTTGCAGGCAACGACCAGTGAGCCAGTTATCCGATTCGTGGCTATGGCGGTGGGCTCCGTGCACCGCTCCTTCGCCTTCTTAAGCGACGAAGACACCACCTTCACTCTGCTCCACTACAACAAGGCCATCCGACAGCTGGTGACGTCTCCACAGAGCAAAAGCACCGTCCTCCTTGCCTGTATCCTGTTCTTCTGCTGCGAGTGCCTGCAAGGCCGCTACAAGACCGCCATCCAACATGCCCTGTCTGGGCTGCGAATTCTCCAGCAGCAACAGTTGCTCCCCCCTAGCTCTCTCGAGAGGGCTCCAGCAGCGGTCTCCTCGCTCTTCCACGCTGTCCAGAGCCAGGTGCTCGAAATCGAGGGCATGGAAGGGCTGGACCCTGACTTGCAGCCCAAGCTGTCGCCACCTGCTTTGGACGCCAATTCTCTTCAAGAAGGTTTCCCACTCGACGTGAGAGACCACCAACGCATCTTCCGACAACTATACTATCGGTTTGTGCAAATCGACGCCCTAATCGAGGCATTCGAGTCAATCCCCAACGACCACTCCCCAGCACGTGTCGCACACGAACAGCAATTACTGGCTGAGTGGTTCCGGGTCCGCGCTGACCTCAAAACGTGGATGCACGACTTCGACCGCCAGAATATCCATGCGTGGCAGATAGACCCACGCACCACATCTCTCCACGCACATTCCATCGCCATCCTCAAAGCCTGGAAGCTGCTGTTCAGCATGTACTTCCGGATGGAGTGGCCGCCGTCCGAGCTGGCCTGGGACCGATTCACCCCAGACTTCCAATCCATCGTCTCCCTGACATCGGCCGTCACAGGCGACGTAACCGCACTTACCGTCCCGTCAGCCCCTCCTACCACCAGACAAGACAGAAAATTCCCCCCGCGCCGATCTGCACCGCCGCCACTTCTTCCAACCCCACCACCCCCAGCTCCATCCCAACCCACCTTCACCCTCTCCCTGGGCTTCCTCACCCCGCTCTACATCTGCGCCACCCGCTGCCGGGACTCGACGATCCGACACCACGCTCTCCGGCTGCTCGAGACCTGTCGTCGGCGCGAAGGGGTGTGGGACTCCGACCTCGCCGCCCGGGTGGCGCGCCGCGTCATTGCGATCGAGGAACAGGCGGCCGGCGTGGAGCCGGGAATTGCTGTATATCACCCTGCGGATATCAGCTTGGAAGCGCGCGTGCGGTCGTCGTCGCCGCAGTTCGCGGAAGGGCGGAAGGCTACCCTGCGGTATGTTGGGGGAAGTAGTGGACCTGAGGTTAGGTTGATGGAGGAGACGATCGTTTGGTGAGAGTTGATGGTTGACTGATCCGTAAGGTTGTTCGGTGGGTGCTCTGAGTTGGATTCGATATGAGATGAGAACAGTGTTATTTGAGAGAGAGAGAAACTCAGAATGGTCGTCATATGGAATCAATGAGCTCGTTTCGACCTCTTTCTAGACACACAAATCAGAGAGGCCGGACTGTGGTGCCATCGACTTCGGCTCATCTTACTGGAGGGAGTCATGAATATTTTATGTAGATCGTTATTGTGGAGGAAATAATGAAATCTTAATAAATTTACTGGCTTAAAAAAGAAAGTTTAATACCTTAAGATTCTTAGAATTAGTAAGAAAGAAAAAAATCTATACAAGTTCGTAGTATTTATATATTAATAAACTTATTTAAAATCATATAATCTTATTAAAATAAAATATTATATATATATATTAATATATTTCTACAGCAAATCATCTACGAAGCCTTCTTTCTTTTTAAATAAAGTAATATTTTTTTTAATATTTTCGAATAGATAAATATATACAGCTGATAGACCGTTCAGTTAATATAATTATTAAAACTATTTAATTAAAATATTTAATAAAATAAATTAATTAATATTAATATTAATTATACCTCTATAATCTGCGCACTGTAATATTATTAATAAATTTAATATTATTAAAAATAATATATTTAATTAATTAATTAAATATTTAAATTTAATATTATTGAACGGCTTAATAAATAAATTTATAAAATTTTTTAAAAATTTAATATATTTAAAATATAAATTTTTATATTAAATAGTCTTACAAATTTAATAATATATAAGATTAATATATTTAGTTTATTGTAGAGTGGCTAACGGCCAGGTCAGGTCAGGTTAATTGGAATTTTTATATCTGACCGCCAGGTTATGGCTAGGTTAAGAAAATTTTTATATCTGACCGCAGTATAGTTAAAAAAGAGATGATTAACTGTTTTAACTGTTTTTAATACTAAAACCTATCTGCTATATTTATTTAGACTCTAGTACGGTTAAGATATATTTAGATTAAGCAGTTATTAATCTGACTATTTTAACTATTATTTAAAAGTATATAGAAATAAGCTTTTTAAATCAGAAAAAAATAATTAAAAGAAGTATTAGTATCTTCTTTATTTCTATCTTAAAGAATTAATCAGAGAATCCTAATAGTATTAACAAAATTCAGCTTTTTATAAAATTATAGTTTTTATAGTAAGAAATATATATAAAGATATATAATTACAGCTTAATTTAAGCTGTATACTTTAATTATAATATATAATATCAGAAAAACTGTATATTTATTAATAATCGGACTATTAAAAATAAATATACTGTTTTTATTCTACTACTCTTCTTTTTACTTCAGTTTAAATAATTTATTATATTCTTATTTCTATCTAAAAGAGCTGAATTATCTGTATAATAGATTAAATTTAAAGAGAAACTTATATAATATTATTTATATAGTCTTTTCTAATAACTGTACTTTCTAATAATTATTTTATTAAATATCAGATACTGTAAGAACAGTCTACTATTTTTATTCTTTTAATCCAGTTAATTTTTTTAATCTGTTTAATTTTTTTGATTTTAAGTATTTTAGAAATCTGTTATTAATTATATTAATCTTATTTTATATATTTAGTTTGACTGATTTTTTTATATAATAATAATATATATTTCGAAGTCTTCCCGCATTTTTCTTTTCTTTTCTTTTTTTTTTATATTTAAAATTCTTATATTCTAATATTAAATAAATTAGTTTTTAATTATTTAAACAGCTCTTACAAATACTGTATCTTTTATAGAAAATTCTATATAAATCTTTTTTAGATTTTTTTTATAAATATTAGAATAATCTGACTAATCTGACTAATCTAACCGACTGAAATAAATAAAATACAGCAGGCGTCTTAGCTGTGTTTAAAATATAATAGATTATATTTATATAAAAATATATTTTAAAATAAAATAAACTATTTTTATAGAATTTTCTACTTTTTTTTCTATATCTATTATTTATAGAGTAGTCTTAGAATTATAAATTAATTACAGTTATTTAATTTATTTTTAGAGGATACTATCGACAGTGGGGGCAGCTAAATTAGGGTCGTGCTCATGGATCTCAGATCGAACACCAGAATGACAGTACCACAAGCTTTTCTTGTCCCTATTTACCTTCTTTGGTCGTTGGCTGGCATGGCATCGCAGGCCGATCTCTGGGTTTTGAATCTTCTGGTAGCTATCCACCTGGTAGTATCATGGCGCCGACTTCCATCAGAAATGGCTCTCTCACCAATCATCTGCAGGAATACTTGCTCCGGGACCGCCGATCCAGGACCGTTGCTAGGATGGAAGGTCCCATTTAAATGACCTACTAAAAGGGTAGTCGCCCATGGAGACTGGAGATGCGCTAATGGTCCGGTCCATGAAATCGCTACCATTCACCATTCTTCGCTCCCACTAGGCTTTGTCCAGTGTAGGCACCAGTGTAGCGAGCATCTTCGAGTTGCAATTTTCGCCTAAGACACAACACCAGTGAGACCGCAAGCGATGGCAAGGGGGAAAGAGGAGCGGAAGGGTCCCGGGCGTCAGAGGAAATATAAATTGCGCCGTTCTCTCAGCTAGAATGCAACCAGAGGACCAGATCTTTCATTCTTTTCCCTCAGCTGGCTTCGATCAAAGTTGCCATCACGGTCGTTCAATCCCTTTGTGACTTTTGTTTTTGTCTTTCTTTTTCCTCTCTCTTTTTTATTCTGGCCTCATTTGGCCTATCCTTCATTCATTTAGGCTCTTTTAGCTCTCTATTTCCTTGACTTGTTTATCTCGTTTATCCCATCAAACTGTCAGTACTTAAATCCAATGCGTCTATCGACAGGGGTTGTGCTGGCGGGGGTTCTCGCCAGCCCGGCCCTCGCCGGCATCGGCAACGGAACCAGGTCCAGTGCCAATGTCAGTGCCAGAACTCGGGTGCAGAAGCCGGCTCGCTGCCCTGATGCTTGTGCGAGCTACGACTCGCGAGCTTGGTTCGTCTACCCAAGTGTGGATCGGGTCGCGGCGTGCAATCAAAGCATGCTGCTCGACTTTAACATCTACAATGCCCTGAATGACAGTCAGACTCACTCCACCATTCGCACTTGCACCACCGCGAACTTGAGCGAGTTGTCCGCGGGATCCTCTGCCGTCGGCGCGGCCAATGAAGTCCAGGTCAGTTACCAGGTGGGCTCGTGGTCATCGGACGTCCCTGTCGAGGCAACGGTGCGGACTCAGGCGGAGGCCGTGCTGCAAGACGTGCAGCAATACCTGCTGGGCAACCCGCAAGGGGGCGAGATCTTTGGATTAAAGGAGCAGGCGGCAGTGGGGGTCTTCCTCGGGGGAAACATGCAGCGCGCCGAAAACGTAGAATTGCTGGTTGACGCGGCGATCGACGCTATGCGGTCAGGCAGCCAAACGGCCGGCGCGTTGCAGTACTGCGGCGTTGATTCCAACCACACCATCGGCGTGGCGTTCGACTTCCGCGGCGATCTGTCGGCGGTGCAGGCCCATGTGCGCAGCTGGGGCGAGGCTGAGTGTATCTCAGGCTTTGATGCCGTGGAAGAGACCACAAGCTTCCTGTGGGTCACGCAATTTACCCCGACGAGCGCCTCCCCTGTTGCAGTAGCCAACAGCTCCGTTACCCTGCGGGAACCGCAGCGTCGATCCTCGAGCACCTGCTCCTACATTCAGGTGGTGTCCGGTGATTTATGTGGCACTTTGGCAGATGAGTGTGGGATCACCCTCGACGACTTCTATGAGTACAACTCGGCGTCGGACCTGTGCACCACGCTGGCGGTCGGTCAATATGTATGCTGCTCTGCGGGAGACTTGCCCGACTTTGCGCCCACCGTGTCCGCGAACGGGACCTGTTATACCTACTATGTGCAATGGGGCGATTCCTGTTCCGCTTTGGCGGCGGCATACAGTATGACCGTCGATGACATTGAGAGTTTTAATAGCGAGACCTGGGGCTGGTACGGCTGTAACGACCTGCAGGCGGGCCAGTCGATGTGTCTGTCCAACGGCACCGCTCCATACCCCGAGCCGATTACCAATGCAGTTTGTGGTCCGCAGGTGCCCGACACCAATTTCACCGGCACTGATGGCCCGGCCGATTGGGCCTTGTTGAATCCGTGTCCGCTTAATGCCTGTTGCGACGTGTGGGGTCAATGCGGGACCACCCCTGACTACTGCAACGATACGAGTGCCGCTACCGGGGCGCCGGGAACCGCGGCGAATAACTCGAATGGCTGCATCTCTAACTGTGGTACCACGATCACCAACTGGGCGAATGCCCCCGCTACCTATGCCTCAGTCGGGTACTTTGAAGGCTACAATGTGAACCGCACCTGTCTCCGCATGAATGCTTACACTATCGACCCGGCAAAATACACCCACGTTCACTACGGCTTCGGAAGTATTGCCTCGGATTTCTCGGTTGCCTCGGGTCCTAATCCGGACCAGTTTAAGTACTTCACTGAGCTGCTTGGTGTCAAACGCGTGGTCTCGTTTGGTGGTTGGGCGTTCTCCACCGACCCCAGCACGTACATGATCTTCCGCGAGGGAGTAACGGAAGAGAACCGGGACACGTTGGCGGCGAACATCGCTGATTTCGTCACCGACAATGTGCTGGATGGAGTTGATTTTGATTGGGAGTACCCCGGCGAGCCGGATATTCCGGGCATCCCAGCCGGCAGCGACGAGGACGGCGACAACTATCTGGCTTTCTTGAAGGTGGTCCGCGAGAAACTAGGCTCAGACAAGATCATCTCGATCGCGGCCCCGGCCTCCTACTGGTACCTGAAAGCATTCCCCATCGCCGAGATCGCCGATGTAGTAGACTACATCATATACATGACGTACGATCTTCACGGGACATGGGATCTCGGTGACGCATCCGCGCAGTCTGGCTGTCCGGCGGGCGACTGCCTTTTCTCGCACGTCAATATGACTGAGACCATGTGGTCCCTGGCCATGATCACGAAGGCAGGGGTCGCGACTGATTCATTGATGGTGGGCGTGGCCAGCTATGGACGGTCCTTCCAGATGACCACCGCCGGCTGCACCGACTCCTCGTGCACCTGGGACGCCGCCGGCGCAGCGGGACCCTGCACCGATACAGCCGGGTATATCGCGAACGCAGAGATCAACGAGATCCTCGCAAGCAACCCCTCCGCGACATACTCGTATGAGACGGACAGTCAAACGGACATCCTCGTCTACAACGAAACCCAATGGGTGGGGTATATGTCAAACTCCACCATGAGCAAGCGGCATGCCTATTACCAAGCTTACAACTTTGCGGGAACGACCGAATGGGCGATCGATCTGGAAGAATACGAGCCCTTCACGGTGATGGATATCGTCGACAAGCAGGTGGGCAACGGTAGTACGACACAGTCGAACAGCTTCGCCAGCCTTACCTGTACGCGTCTTCTCGCGGGACAGAACACGACCGAGCAGCTGGATCTCATTTTAGACGCGGCCATAAGCTACATCGATGCTGTTCTCACTCTCCACGAAGGTCTGTAGCTAACTCCTTCCAACATTATTATTTGATAAATCTTTCTGACTCCTGTGCGCAGGCGACCCTGAGGACTGGGACTTCTACGTCTTAGGCGAGGACTTCAATGAGAAGTGTTCAGACTTCCCCATAGGCGACTGCCCTATTCCCGAGGAAATATGGTGCAAGGACGAGGAGTATGGGTTCTCCGTGGAGCAGTACTGGGCGCAGTGGGTGGTCTACACGTTCAATGCCAACATGAAGCAGTGGTACGCGGCCTTCAGTGCGAGCGGGGCCGTAGATGCGCTCCAGATCCAGACAATCGTGGACGATTTCACGCCGGCTACGGTAAGCACATGGTCCATGGCGGACTTTTTCGACGATCTGGTGACGGCAATGGGATTCGGAGCGACGATCGTGGGCGGTATTCCGGGATATGCTGAGGTCAACACAGCGCTCGGGGTGGTGGACACGTGGGTGGACGATGCCTACGCGGTGTTCGGGACGAACACGGGGGCTAGTCTGCCGACTTCGTCGGACATCGCTACCGTGCTGACGGACACCATGTCGGACCTGTACGTGGATGTCTATACTCAGCTGGCCAACGTCACCACCCAGGTCTTCATGACCAGCGATGGGGGCGGGGTGCTCCCGGCTACGATGGTCGACGGGCCTTACACCCACAACGTGTCCAACTACTTGTACAACATGCGCCCGCTCTTCACCCTGGACGGCGACCAGTGGGCGGAGGTGACGGACCAGATGAATCGGACGCTGCAGCAGGCGCTGGTGAATGCGGCCCTCGGCGGCGCCAACTACTACATCATCAAGAACGGGCTGTCGCTGGACAAATGCACGGGGTCTGGTAACTACCAAATCGACGGCAACTGTTACTCGCTGGGGAGCCCGGCGTCGAAATCTTGCACCATCAACATGGCCTACAGCCAGCCCGCCACGAGTACCATTGTCAGCGCCATCGAGTCCTACGGCATCAACATCTCCACTGCGTTGATCCCCATATCGGAGGCCTGTCAGAACGCCACCCAGTCCTGGTATGGCTCCAGCCCCGTAGACTTGGGCAGCCTCGTGAGCGCGGGCACTGGCAACTACCCGTCCTGCTTCTTCAACCTGCCCGTCTTCGCCATCTACTATAATGCGGACGACGCGAAGCTCTATGGCGATATGAACAGCCCGTGCCCGTATTACGCCGAGAACTACGAGGAAGATGCGGACGATTTAGGCGGCTTGCCCTCAAACCTGGACAGCTTCTTCAACCTCGACTTCTGCTCTTGCGGGACATGGAACAATTACTGTCAGCCGCTTAAGAAACGCCTGGTCTGTGAACGGTCGTACGTTACGGAGGGTGCAAGATAGGGGTCAATGACAGATGCCGGGAATAAATATGTCAAGATTGCATGGAATTTATGTGTATAGATAGCTTTCCTATTTCAGCAGCAGGAAGTCGAACGGCTAGTAGGGGTATTTGTTAGCCGCCCTGAGGCATCGATAGCCAGGCTGTTCACCGCCCACCACGGTCATCATAGCATCACGTAGCTGAATTCATGTGTCAATAGGGACTCACGTCATCTACTCACTGGAGATAAGATCGATACAATCAAACCCGATCTATCGAGTATGCAAGGGGAAAATAACCTGCCAACCCTTCCAGGGAAAGCTACAGACCTTGCACTGAACTCAATTAGAGACCTCCCCCTCCCCCCTCCTTCCTTTTTTTCTTCCTTTCTTAGATCCAGGTCTGTCAATAATAACAGCGAACCTGTGATAGTATACCAGGTTATACTAGTGAGTATGTGTAGATCGCGAAGCATGAATTCCTATCAAACGTAGTGTGTGTGTGTGTGTGTGTGTGTGTGTGAGTGAGAGAGAGAGTTTATATACGCAGAGCAAATCACGTGTCATCGGACAGAATCACGTCGTCACTGAAAGAGATGTAAAGCACTACTCTCTAAAACTGTGACAATCATGGTCCCAAGTATTTCCGCACGGAGGTTTGACAAGGATACCTTTCAGGTCTACCATACACCTAGGATTAACTGCTCTCAAGCTCTTCCGGGGAAAGGAGTGGGGGTGGGTGGGGGTGCATAACCACAGCCCCGACCCAGGCGAGTATTTCACTTTCCCTATGCCGCAGATCATTTTCTCCAGAATCCCAGCTGTGAGAAAGCTGAATGGTATGTAGTCAATGTCGTTAGTCTATGGTTAGTTCCACAGAGTGTACTTCCAATCTGGTATTCTTCATGTGTTTTTATGGTAATTCGACCATAAGCGACGGCACTTTCTGCCACGGGAAGACACCCTCGGGTTTCAAATTGTGCTAGAAAGCAGTTGGGACTTGTTAGACACCGAGACCAAAAAGCATCCAACTCATTTATGGAATGGGCTCGCGTATATTAGAGATCCGCCCATTGCTCCCGCATCTCCGGCGTGATGCTGGGCACGGTGTGGGTAAATTCCACCGTAAGCCAGGGATTCCAATCACAGTCCATCCAGTCTTCAAAGGGAGAAGCCTTGTATCTGGCTTCGTTCCACCGCAGCAGAGGCGAGATGTATTCTCCGAGGAAATAGTTCAGCGTCAACGCCGCGGGGTCATCTCGCCTCCGGTTGAAAAGCGCATGGGCCAGGTCGACAAACACCACGCGAGGCCCCTGGTCGTCATTATCGTCACTAGCCGATGGCGACCGGAGAATGGAATTGCGTGGCTCGAGATCGATGAGCAAAATGTTCTGCTCGTAGATCCGGTTTTCCAGGTCGACAATCGCCTTCACGATGGTATTGCCGATCGGCCTGCAAATAGTCCCCCGGTTGCGCGTCGGCCATGGTGACGCCTGGGATATGCTCAATCAGAATCATCCGCACGGCCCGCGTGCGGTCTCCATCCACCGGGTGGTTCAAAGTGTAGGAGCCATGGTGCATTGGGATCTCGCGGCCCTGAAACTCGCGCAGCGCTGGGTATGCATTGGCCTCGTGGGTGTAGTACTTGTCCATGCAGCGGAACGGGTCGAGATATCCCTCATCGTCCTCGAAGTAAAGTGGGTCGTAGATCTTGGCCACTAGTCTAGCGCCTGGACGGGGCAGCGATGGCGATGTTGAGTCTAATACCTCGACCGTCAGGGCCTGAGAGTTGTGGCCATCACCGGCCTTCAGTGTGCCGGTGACTTCTAGGCTGATCGTATCATCTCACCCTCGTTGCCCAGCAACGGGGGTCGCTTTAGGCATCGCTCAACGGAATGAGTTCTGCTCTTTCCCTCCGCTCATTTTTACTGTTGATGCAGCACTAGTGCACGACTGGAGTCGGAGCTGTAGGCGTGTGTGATTGGGCTGGAAATCGCCAGCCAGGCGTGTATGGTGATGGGGCTTTGGGGAGTTCGGTGGATGGAGGCCTGAACGGCGGCGGGGGGATTTGACGGTACCATTATCGCCATGCGTCGTCGCTCTCTTGGAGTGGTGCTGGGCTGGGGGTGTGAGTAACAGTCATAGGATCTGATGGCGCTCTAGTTGTGTGGGGGTTGCGGAAATGTGTCAAGACTAAAGCTGCACACGGTATCAGATCCGTTGCATGGCCGGTGGAATGATTTTCCATGCGCTGTCCCAACTTATGCAGGCATGCACATACGGTAAGCATACACGCACAGACCTACCAGGGGTCAATTTATTTATTTATCTATTTTATTCTCGAATGAAGGAAGAACGAACGAAGAGAAAGTGTTCTTACAAGTGCGGCAAATGACATTAAAGAACAAGGAGTGCCCATTAAGAAACTGAGATTGAGTATCGCATCACAAACAAGACGTCGAGGCATATCAGTCATTCTAAATTATATTTAAAAACCCCAAGAGACTTGAATTAAGTCAGAAAGCCAGTAACCCAACCAGACATGCATTCCAAGCCAAGTCCACGTCTAGCATATCATACATTCCATCCATCTGACCCGCCCCTCTGCGACTATTTCATCCCCCCAAGTAACCCTTTTCTGAACAGGTCATGATGTTGCTGTTGCTAGGGAGGTTGATGTTGAGGTTGAATTCGATGATGTCTGGTCCGCCGGATTCCTACATGTGAAGGGCGTCAACGGTGAGTCCTTGAAGCTCGCCTCCATCGCCACAATTGATGCCCACAGCCCCAGGCCGGCGGTGCCTAGCGCAGCCAACGCGTACACCACATCGAAGGTATTTCGGGCGAACTGCTTGCGGTACCCGCGGGCCCAGCGCTTCCAGCCGGAGTCCACGCGCTTCGTCTCCCCCGTGTGGGGGTCGAACGTCTCTTCGGGGAGGATGGCGTCCTTCTGCACGTTGAAGCCGACGAGGAGCATGGGAGGGAAGGTGTAGGAGAACTGCAGGATGCAGAGGGCGCCGACGAAGGAGGTGAGGTTGCTGATTTGTGGGATGGCGGCGGCGACGACCCAGGCGAGGCACCAGTAGATCGGGACTGTGCATTTATTAGTTTCTTTGTTTTCTTTCTCTTCTGTTTATTCACCTCCCCCCCTTTTCTTTTCCCGGAAAAAACGAGATCTTGGGTGGAGGAAATGGAAAGGGAGCGGAACGTACCCAGGGCAATCCAGATCAGTTTACCAGTTCGGTGATCCAGCGGCGGAAAGTGGAAGACGTCGCGCAGAACCGAGGCGTAGAAGACTTTGATGCCGATGTTGCCGTACAACAAAGCAGCGATAACGCCCGAGATGAGGGAGAGGGCGTTACAGCCGGTTTGGTAACTGTAAGCGGAGTCAGGGATTCCTAAAGGTTGTTTATTGGTTAAAATGACGACCCAAAAAGAGACGGAGTCTGCTTCGGGTACTCACCCTGGTAAGCTGGGTTGTAGGTAAATTGTCCCTGCGCGTTGTACACAACCATTCCCTCCACGAGGTAGCACACGTAGATGAAGACCTCGGCGCAGATGAAGCCCTTCCAGAAATCGAATCTATGCAACTGTCAACAAGCTGCAACGGTGCCGAAGAAAATGGGGGAAGGCCTACGGGCGCCGCATCTCAGCCATCAGCTCGTTGAAGAGTGTCGCACCACCGTAGGCGAAGACACAGTTCATCACCGCCGTCATCCGAGTGTACAGGGTGCCGTCTGCCGGCCAGTTCGCGCTGGTCTGAATGGGTTCATTGGCACTGCCGGTTGGGGGGTATACGTAGACCACGCCCATACTAGCCATCATGTCAGCACTGTTCTTGCTCTTTTGAGGACGGGGCCGTGCTCTCACGTGATAAGAATCACCGTAAAGTTCATCCAGATAGCCAGGTTCGACAGCCAAGACAGGCGCTGCAGGGTCCGAATCTGTCCCAGAATGAAGCCGAGGAGCATGAAGATGACCTCGGCCACGATGACTGGTGGGAGAACATGTCAGTGCTGCCGATATTACTGCTCTGGGTCAAGAGATCTCACAGCATATATACCCCGTGCCATCCACTCCAGCAGCCATCTGAGCCAAACCCTGGCCGTTGCTGACAATCAGCAAGGTCACGTTCAGGAAGAACTGGAAGCTCTGAAGAATGTTGACGCCAATGCGAGCAATCGGGCCAAAGATCCGGAAGGCTACATCGCCGTAGTCTGGGAAAGTCGGTCAGCCAGTCGCTTTATGCCTCGCCCTGGTGCTGAAGGAATCACATACTGCGCATGGGATAGCGGGTTGAATCGAGACCGTTGAAGATCTTCCACAGCTGCATTCCGGAACTACAGAGCGTTTTAGTTCAGAAGCGGGAGTGTTCAAAATGGAGGGAAAACTCACTAGTACGCCATGATGCCGAAGACCGTATACAGCGCCTGCCAGCCCTATGTTAGCGGATGTCGGGACTCAGGTTCAGTGGCGGACTCACAAAGCCAGGCCCATAGCCCATTTCCTACACAGTCTGTTAGTATATCTGCGCCTGCCATCTCCTCCGTCCTTTTCCGGAAATCACTTACACTAATCGCCCATGGCACGTTCGTCGGACCCAGGATATCGGTGGTAATCAGATAGAAAATCGAGCCTAAGAGACAGTCAAGTCAGCCTCACCTCCCTTCCACCGGAACCCACCACAACCCCCCAAAACAGCATTCACTCACCCCAAGTCGCCGTTCTCGCGGCCCGCTGCGCCAGCTCCCACTCCGTCTCAGTAATGCCATACTGATCCCCGTTCCCCTCGCGTTCACCACCACCACTACCAACCCCATCCCCGGAATCCGCCTTCTCCGACATCGCAGCCTTCTCATCCCCAACAGCGACCCCACTCTCGACGGGACCCTTCTGCTTCTCGGTCGTCGAATCCACAATCCGCGGAGCCGGCGAGGCCGTTTCCTTGGACGCGCGCCCCAGCATCACATTCCACAACTGTTGAAAGCCCTGGTTGTCCGTGCGGATATGCTTCTCGAACTCGCGGGAGCGCTTGGCCCAGAACAGGTAATTCTCGAAGGAGATAGAGGAGTCGAGGTAGATGTTGCCGGAGCCGTGCATGACGGGGGCGGGGATGGCGTGGAGCGACCGTTCCTTGCTGCCGGGTTGGCCATGGCGGCTGGGGTCGTCGATGATGATGCCGTGTTCGGCCTCGGTGCCGATGAGGTCGGCTTCGTTGCCCAGGCGCGGGTCGGCGACACCCCCCAGGTTGGCGGCGGAGACGATGCCTGCCATTCCTTTTTTGCGGAGGATGCAAAAAATTGTTGATCCTTTGGGGCAGGGAAAAAGTGGGAGGGAAGGGAAAAGAAAGATTGACAATGATGTGGGACAGAAGGGGGGGTGGGGTGATATAAATGGCTGTTCACTTATTGACTAGGTAGTTCTATTGGGAATTGTGAATGGGTCGAATTGATTGAGTGTGTCGGGGAGGGGAGGGGGAGCACCACCCCGTTCATCCGTCGGGGGAAAGCCATCATGCATCCATTGGATACGAACCAAACCACTCCCCCCACTGGATCATGGTGTTAGTGATTGGGATTGGACTGTTGGGCAGTGCCAGGTGGGGGTGGTGTGGGATCATGGATGGTGTGGTATCATGCAGTGTACTGTGTAGTGCAGTGGTGATTGTTCTCCGTCAATCTAGAAGGATTTCTTATCTTCCTCCTCCATCCTGCTTGCTGCATCCACCGGTGAGAGACCTCAAACCACCCTCCAGTGCAGTGATGACATCTCTTGTGCTGCACGATGACCTCAGCCTCCGACCAGGATGTCTCGGAGTGAACCATCTTACACTGGCCATCCCTGTCAGCGTGTACGGTAGGTACGGTACAATACCGAATCGAAACCCTCAAAAGCTCGGCAAAGCTTGTCGGGCCCGGCTAAAAAAGCTTGGTGTGCCTCCACTGCGTGGATGAGGCCCACTCCTCTTCGCTTCGGCTGGCTTAGTCCTTATCCTGCCTGTTCTCGTAAAGAAAGAGAGACAGAGAGACACGCGCACACAAACGACGGTCAATTTAGGATTCATTAGCCACCAGTCCCGCAAAGGAATGCAATCTGACGGCAAGTCTCGCTTATCGCGCCCGGTGGACTGTTCTGCAACCACCACCGTCATCAGCACGGAGACGCATCGGAGGATCATGATACTGAGGGGTTTATCAACCTGCTAAGAACCAGTCGTGTGGTGTTTACAAACGCCTCTCACATGACTTCCAGGTAACTAAGCATTTAACCTTTGGTGTGACTGCAGCTAGCTAGCTTATCAGCAAGAATTCGGAAAAATATTACCTGCTTGCAAAGTGGATGCAGCGCTCAGGACCAAGGGAAAGGAAAGACAAGCGCCCCACTTGGGAAGTTCCGGACGTCCCCGGATGGGTTCCCACTGCCCTCGCGGTAAGCCACTTACATGTAGAGAATTGCATGCGGCCGGGATGGCAAATCTGGCCATGCCAAGTGCTGGCTGTTTGCGAGTACTCGGTCCGGTGCGTTGAGGAGTGTCGTTGTTTGCCACTTGTTATTGATTTACCGCTTCCTGTCTGGGAATGACTTAAGAGTTGAACCCATTAGCAAATGGCACTACACATAAAACCGACAGTTCTGCAATCCAATCGAAACTCCATTGACACCTATCCAGTGGAAGTATAATGCAACCTACTGAGTAGGCGTATGAGTACTCCGGGAAGACCGTCGGACAGCCGAGAAACGTAGCGGGGTTCTTTCTGCATGGTTAATTTCCACTCCGATATGTCCGAGTGAAAATTACGGGTACCGGGGTTCCCACTGCAATCTGAGACTGCTGGGATGGTATGGGGAAGATAAGAATAAAAGAAATGATAATAAAAATTAAAAACTAGAATTCGAGAAGAAAAAAAAGAACGACACATTCCCCTCCTATCACCGAATCAGAAAAAAAAAGAAAAAAAAGAAAAAAAGAAGAGAGGGTTGTTTGAACGATAACGGGTTCTGTCCGTCCGCCCGCCCCGTCGGGCACTCCCCATTGATTCATTCCGCCATTCTGGAACAGGAACCCATCCCCCAGCATTCCAATCAATTGAATCGGACCTATTTGCAGACAGACGGCACGTTCAGTCCCGCTTGCTCGTGACCGAATAGTCCGTCGACATGTGGATCCCGGATTCATGCTCGCGGACGGCGTCGTGCTTGACCATCTCGTGCATCGCCTCGACGTCGTCCTGCGTCTCCGGCACCGCGGTGCTGCGCAGGGTAGACAGGTAGTCCCAGTTGCGGATGACCTTCTTGCGCGCCCCGACCGCCTCGTCGCTGCCGTCGCTGCCGTGGCCGCGGGGCTTGTTCGCGCTGGAGACCTTGCTGCCGGTGAAGATGTGCGGGGCCAGTTGCAGGAGCAGCGGCCGGAGCACAGGGAGGCACGCGCAGATGATTCCCACGTTGATTTCCACCATGCTGTTGCAGAGAACCAGATCCAGTCAGTTGGTGTTGTATCTCGCTACGAAGGGAAAGGGGGGTTGGAGAAGAACATACGCCCATTTCGCCAGGGTCACCTTGTACCAGGTCAAGTCGCCGTCGTGGATGAAGGGCATCATGGTGACGATTCGCACGATCGCGATCACGCAGGCGCTGAAGGCTGGGTTAGCCACGGAATCACCACGGACAACTAATTCTGAAAAGCAGCACGGGTTAGAAGGCACTTACAAAGAACCCATCATCAACACCATCATCAGCAGCACCTTCTGCTTCAGGGTGGTCTGCAGCGACCAGCAGAGCCGGATAGGCAGCGCCAGCGTGATAATGTCCGAGAACAGGTTGAAGGCCGCATTGGCATACACGAAGGCCAGCTGGTCGACACACCGCGCCGTCGGCATTAGCGTCACGTCCCACATGGCCTGGACGGGGATGCAGCCGAGCGTGAAGACGAGCAGACTGATCATGTTGTAGACGGCGACGAAGATCATGATCCCGTAGGTCATCTGCCGGAAGCGCTTCTCCGGGCTGAGGCGCAGGAAGAACAGCAGAATCGAGGTCTTGACCAGCCAGATGCCGACGACGAAGACGTCCTCGCCGGCCAGATCATTCTACATGGGCTTAGTCAGGGAGCTTGGAGGGCAGATACACCACTTGGTGGTGGAGACCAGATGCATACCTGCTTGAACGGCTTGATCTTATCGAGGTGCAGGTCCCAGATATGAACGCCATACCCGTTGTCGATATCTGTTCAGGTTGGACTCTTAGTTGGCTGGGCGCACTCGAGAAACCTCGCGATAACTTACTGACGATCCCGAGAATCGCGAAAATCCACGCGCAGATCTGAGCCCAGATGCAAAACCCTGGTGAGCACCTCCGTCAGCTTGGTTGATCCCGCTGGGCATCAATGCATGCAGCTAGCTTACAGTCGTCGATAGCGATCGTCTTCTGCAGGAACATCCGAGTATACAGGCGCAACAACAAGACCACCGTTCCTGTCAAGCAAAGGGCGAGATTGATGGAATAGATCTGGTAGTTTTGATTCTCCGGGTTTTCGAAGTTGGTCGTGATGCCGGGGGGCGGATCCGACGCCGGCACCTTGCTCAAATCCAATGTGGTGGTCGACATGATGGAGTTGAATGGAGAAACAGCTGGGTGTCCCGGTCGGCAATCGTTGCAGCAGCAGCAGCAGCAGCAGCTCTATTTGGCATGCAATCGAAAAGAAGCTCTGCGTCGAGTCAGGGATGAGCAATCCACCATGCCAACCCTGTGTCCATGCTTTTCTTTATATCCTGTCACTCCAATCAAGCCTTTGGCTCGCTCGTTCGTACTTTCGGTCCCCCTCCCGGGCCCATTGAAGAGATCATATGCAAGATGCATCGACTACCGGTATAGTCTCCTCTCCTGCATTGCATAATTTGGGCGGGGAGGATGATCGTACCTCCTTGGCTGACGCCCAGCTCGATGTGGTCGGACCATTACCGCCACCATCCACAGCATACCCTCACCCACTGTTTCTCCAAATGGGTCCGACAAAGTGACACCTCGATCGCAAACAAACCCAAGATTCCCCAACAGGGCCCCGATCAACCCTATTTTCTCTGACGGAACTTGGCCCCCGCAGGAGAGGGTCCAAGCGTTGGAACATTGACCTTGTTCTCCAAACGTAGGGGGAGCGGGCTGGCCAAGTGCAGTACGTGCTGGTGTAAGTTCCCTGACGATCGCACCGTTTCTGCGATTGATAGGCTAGGATCGCTGCTTGCGGAGACGACCTGTCATCCGGTCGCATCCCGAAGCAAAAAGGGCCGGACGCAAGATCAATAATTGCGGAGGCACCCAGATAGCGCAGTTTTGCCCCTATCTCAGATCTTCCCCGTTGGGGGATGTGCATCTTTCCCTGGAACTGCAGGCGCAATTCCTCCTATTCTTTTGACGGCAGCGACCAAAACCTCAGGAGAGAAACAAAAGAACAGATGTCCACCGGTCGGGGACCATGTATATGTCAGAAATCAAGTCGAGTCAATTGGATAGATGGATTGTTTGGTGGGATTAGGCTTTGGCCAAGACGGTGGTTGCAGCGCGGAAAAAGAACTCAAGAGATCAGGGCTTCCCCCGCTTATTCCACCCAGCCCTGATTCCGCCATCGTCAGCCTTTGCCAGCCTTTTCGCGCCCTCTCCGAAACATCCTGGCGCATCACACAAAGAAGTGGCTTGGTGGCTATGGAGAACACTGCGAAACTTCCGCCTGGTCTTTCTGTCGTCGTTCCCTGAAGGCGCCGAGATTCCGTGAGCATCCGTGCAGAAAGGAGAGAGCAAAGGGCCAAATGTGACAGGTGTCGGACCCACTCGATGCCAGCATCATCATAACAATACGCCAGGAAAGATCTCCTGTCGATCTAATCACTGGCCCAAAAGCCCCACGAATGGCATCTGGATATTCCTGCAGGTCGTGTTGCCTTTTCGAGTCTAGCCAATAATCCCTGATTTGCCTTTCGTGATGTATCAATTTTCCACCCTCTACATCAGTCTCCCTCCAATCCCCTTTCTTAGTATGCACGCTGTGCAAAAGGACCAATCTATAAGACTTTGCGGCTTCCCTTCCCCCTTGGTCTCCGGAAACAATATCCTGCCTCTCCGCCGAACTTGTCCGTGTGCTTGTGTAGCTGGTGTAACCTGTCATGGCGCCTCTCGATCCCAGCATCGATCGCATCCAGCAGTGTCTAGACGAGGTGGTGCAGTCTGTCGGCCAGTTCCGAGACCCTGCAACCTCGCTTAGCCACCAGGATGCACGGTACGAATTGCTGGTCAAGGCGATGCGATGCATCCAGTGCAGACCATTCGCGGTCCTGCCGATCTGGTCTTCGCCGATTTTGAGAATGTAAGCGTGGGCGGACAGATCATCTAATTTTTCTGTATCACCGAGAAACTGACAAGATGCATTTGGGGCCCTTAGATGGCCAGTCTGGGCGCTATCCGAACGCTCCTCGAAGCCGGAATATTCGATGTATTCCGGTGGGCGGCCAGAGCATGTCAGCCACGGACATAGCAGCCCGAACTGGGATGAGTAAGGAGATCATAAGTGTACGATCGTGAGCCCCTTTCTCCTGGGTGGAGGTGACCCCGTGCCCGGTTCGTTCTGACATCGATGTGACATGCTACAGTGCGCATGATGCGGGCTGTCACGCCCTTCTGACCGTTTCGCAAGACCGGCGAGCAGGAGTATGCCCACACCCCCAACTCGGAGATCTATCTTCGCTACTCAGATGCGGGCCGTCCTGAGTTTCATGTGAGTTGTCATCCGCGTCTCAACTAGGCTGCCTTGTCAGTCGACCAGCAACTGTCCGCTCACCATCCGACGTCGGGATACCAGGGTCGATGAATACTGCCCGGCGATGCTGCGCACCAACGAATTCCTCCGCCAACACCATTGGCAGGACCGCATCGGCCTGCGCAGCAACCCATACACTCTCGTACATCACTGCGAGGGCCAGACGATGTTCGAGCAGATCTCCCAGAGTCCCGCGCGACTGACCCGACTCAGCAACGCGATGGTCGCCGAGGACTCCCTCCTCGCCGAGATCGGGCTGTACCCGTTCGTGGAGCGACTGAGTCCGCTGGCGCAGGCAAATCAGCCGACCATCGTCGACATCGGGGGTGGACGGGGCCACATCGTGCGCCAGATCAAGCAGAACACCCCCAGCCTAGCGGGACGGTTCATCCTCCAAGGACCGCGCCAGTGTCATTAGCGACAATGGGCCGCAGATGACCCGCCATGGCATCGAGCCGATGGCCCATGAATTCTTCACCCCGCAGCCTGTAAAAGGTATGTCACGCGGGATATATTGACTCTGCATCAAAGTCATCAAGCAAGCTGATTCTACCCTCCACCTCGGGCGCATTGGTGTACTAAATTCGCCGCGTGCTGCACGACTGACCCGATGTAGAGGTCCGAGAGATTCTCACGCACCTGGCCGCGGCGATGGACCGGGAGAAATTCCGCCTTCTCATCACGGATCTATGATCCTGCCGAGATCGGCGCCACCATGGCCCACGCCTACATGGATCACACGATGATGACGTTTGGCAGGACCGAGCGGACGGCCAAAGACTTCGCGCGCCTGTTCGACGCGGCGGGGCTGCAGTTGGTCCAGGTCTGGGAGAGCCCCGGGGTGCCGATGAGGGTCGTGGAGGCGTGCTTGAAGTGATTCCGAACATCGGGGGTTGCTTCTTGGTGAATCAGTCACCGTTTTACTGGCCAGTCCTTTGCCAAGCTCTGCCACATGGCGCTAACTTCTAGACTATTCCGTTTACTGCAAAAGTCTTAACCGGAACTACGAGTGTGGTTGAGGATTTTCGGATTTGGTGAATGTCGGATGACGATGTGTCATCGGAAGGAGTGGTTGTGAGTTCTGGATGGAAAACGCTTTGATCGATGATGGTCGTGGAGATTTCCTGATGGGACCTATCCATGGATGCTAAGTGCCGATTCGGGCCAAGAGCTTGACCCGAAATTACTCTCTTCGTACATGGCTCTTTAATGGACAGTTGGTCAGGCATAGGTTCATTTTTTCTCTCTCCCGCGTTTTCCCCGTCGGCAACCCCAACTTGCGGGGTGAGGGAGCCGTGCTCGGGATCGTTGAATGGACCCATTCACCTACACCTTCAACCTCACAACTTCAGAGAACTCATTCTACGGGCTCTTTCTACATTCGCTGTTATCTGTCACCTAAGAAGGTACCTTTCATGTTCGCTGAGTGAACGCTTCTTCTCTGAGACCAAACATACCCATCATAGAAGAGTTTTCTTGGAAGTGAACATTACCCCAGAGAAAATCCCCCACTCCACTCAGCCATCCCTGGCCAATGCTGAAGGAAGCTGAAGAAACCGGGCAGAAAGGACCGAAGCCCTGCTTAGACCGCTGAAGTCATGGCAACCATCCCCAAACAGGAGACACACATGGCACGATGAGAGTGATGATAGCCTCCCACACTGTGCGAGCGAGCCACATCCTCGGGTTCTTGCACCGCAACCCCACAGAGTTCCCCCCCTCTCCCCCCCACGCAACAGAAATTGCTGCAGAAAAAGTGCAGGGGAGGGCAAGAATTACCGAAGCCAGCTGGACCCACAATGACTGCGCCGAGGGATACGAGCCTGTCACGAAGCGCCAAACCCGCCACCAAGCGATGAAATTCCCCCCCAAACCGCGTGACTTGGATGGGTCCCAGCGTGTCGACCATAACATCCAGAGTTGAATACATCCGGATTCTTGCTTTTGCAGAGTGTCATGGGATTTGCCGGAGTTTTGCCGAGGGGTGGTGTTGAACGTGGTGTGGGCAGCGCGGCTCGGCTGGTGCGACGGCGGCATTGGCCGAATTCCCTTCCATTCCTCGTGGAGTCCCCGCATTTCCCCGGGCTCGGTTTCTCCCCGAACGACAACCCTAACTTCCAGATGTCACACTTCACGGTCCACTTTAGAGCTCTACTTCTGCCATTTTTCTCCTTCCTAGCGTCGGAGGAGACGAGTTAGACTTCAGTCACCTGGTCTTCCTCGTGCCATTCCAGTTTTCCACGCCGAATGCCAAGCTCGGCCCACGCAGACGGTGACGGCCTCGGCACGGTCACCAGTCATGTTCACCCACGATGACGGCAGTTGGAACCTCGAGGTGGCCGATTGTTGGGCGGACTGGGTTAGACAGGAGAGCTGTGGAGATGGGGTGGATTGAGCAGTTCTCCAGGTTGGATTTGTGTCTATATAAACAGCCTTCCGCATCGCCTTCTTGATCCAGCTCCATCACAACACATCCAGCTTCCATCCTAGTCGTCGCAAACTCGACCAGAATGAAGCTTACCGTTCCCTTAACGGCCGCAGCGCTGCCTCTGGCGGGCGCAGCCGTCATTCAACCCCGTACACTGAACGTGACCGACCTCGAGCACTACTGGTCCTACGGCCGCTCTGAACCCGTCTATCCCACACGTGAGTCGGACACTGCGACACCCATCACCCCTGCAGGGCCACGCTAACCCTCCACAGCGGAGACCCAAGGTCTAGGAGACTGGGAAGATGCCTTCACCAAGGCCAAAGCCCTCGTGGCCCAGATGACCAACGAGGAGAAGAACAACCTGACCTACGGCTACTCCTCCACCACCAACGGCTGCTCCGGCAACACGGCCGGCGTCCCCCGCCTGGGATTCCCCGGCATCTGCCTGCAGGATGCCGCCAGCGGCGTGCGCGGCACCGACATGGTCAACGGCTACGCGTCCGGGCTGCACGTGGGCGCCTCGTGGAACCGGGAGCTGGCCTACCAGCGGGCGCAGTACATGGGGGCCGAGTTCAAGCGCAAGGGGGTCAACGTGGCCCTGGGCCCCGTGGCCGGGCCCCTGGGCCGCATCGCGCGCGGCGGCCGCAACTGGGAAGGGTTCAGCAACGACCCGTACCTGGCCGGCGCGCTGACGGGGGACACGGTCCGCGGACTGCAGGAGTCGGTGATCGCGTGCGTCAAGCATTTGATCGGCAACGAGCAGGAGACCAACCGCAACAGCCCGCAGATGCTGACGGGCTCGCACAACCAGTCGGTCTCGTCCAACATCGACGACAGGACCATGCACGAGCTGTACCTCTGGCCGTTCCAGGACGCGGTCAAGGCCGGCGCCGGCTCCGTCATGTGCAGCTATAACCGCATCAACAACAGCTACGGCTGCCAGAACAGCAAGACCATGAACGGGCTGCTCAAGGGCGAGCTGGGCTTCCAGGGCTTCGTCGTCTCCGACTGGACCGCCCAGCACACGGGGCTGGCCAGCGCCGCCGCCGGGCTGGACATGGCCATGCCCTCCTCCGAGTACTGGGACAGCAACCAGCTGGCGACGGCGGTGGCCAACGGCTCCCTCGCCGCGACCCGACTCGACGACATGGCCACGCGCATCGTCGCCGCCTGGTACAAGTACGCCGAGCTAGAGGACCCCGGCCACGGCCTGCCCGTCAGCCTGCTGGAGCCACACCCCCTCGTTGACGCGCGCGACCCAGCCGCCAAGGAGACGATCTTCCAGGGTGCCGTCGAGGGCCACGTGCTGGTCAAGAACACGAACCAGGCCCTTCCCTTGACCTCGCCGCGCTTCCTCTCCCTCTTCGGCTACGACGCCATCGCCGCGCCGCAGAACACGATGGACGACCTCTCGTGGAGCCTGTGGGCGATGGGCTGGACGAACACGCAGACGTACCCCAACGGCAGCGCGGTGGACCCGACGATGCTGAAGTACATCTTCCTGTCGAGCGCCGACCCCACTGCCACGGGGCCCGGCATCGCCCTGAACGGCACGATGTACACCGGGGGCGGGTCCGGGTCGAGCACGCCCTCGTACATCGACGCTCCCTTCGACGCCCTGCAGCGCCAGGCGCGCGAAGACAACACCTTCCTAGCGTGGGACTTCACCTCCGCGACCCCGCTCGTCAACCCGGCCAGCGAAGCATGCCTCGTCTTCATCAACGCCGCCGCCGCCGAAGGATGGGACCGCCCGGCCCTGAGCGACAGCTACTCGGACAACCTCGTCACGCACGTGGCCTCGCAATGCAACAACACGATCGTGGTCATCCACAACGCGGGCATCCGGCCCGTCGACGCCTGGATCGAGCACCCCAACATCACCGCCGTGATGTACGCCCACCTGCCGGGCCAGGACAGCGGCGCCGCGCTGGTCGAGGTGCTGTACGGCAAGCAATCGCCGTCCGGCCGCCTGCCCTACACCGTCGCGCGGAACGCAAGCGACTACGGCGCCCTGCTGTCCCCGACCCTGCCGTCCGCCGAGAAAGACAAGACGGAAATCTACTACCCGCAGGACACCTTCAGCGAGGGCGTGTACATCGACTACAAGCACTTCGAGGCGCAGAACATCACGCCGCGGTTCCCGTTCGGGTACGGCCTCACCTACACCGATTTCACGTACAGCAACCTCGTTGTCAACACCACGACGACGGCAGCGACAAGCCTCACCCCGCCTGATCTTAATGGCGCCGTCGCGGAGGGCGGTCTCCCTTCCCTCTGGGACGTGTTGGTCACTGTTTCGTGCACCCTGGAGAATACGGGCAGTGTGGCGGCCAAGGAGGTCGCGCAGCTGTATGTGGGGATCCCCGGTGGGCCGGCGAAGGTGCTGCGCGGGTTTGTCAAGGAGCTGGTGGAGCCCGGTCAGAAGAAGGAGGTCAGCTTTGCGTTGACGAGGAGGGATCTGAGTACCTGGGATGTGGAGGTGCAGAGTTGGGTGTTGCAGCAGGGGGAGTATGGGTTGTTTGTGGGGAAGAATGTCGCTGATGTGCTGTTGACGGGGTCGGTGGCGTTTTAGGTTAGGATGGGTGTCGGTTATGAGCGTATGTATTTGTATGGATATGGATATAATGAATGAGATGGATTATTGCTTTTAAGTATTCCTTTTTGGTTTTCACCTTTGTAAGCGATTTGAGGCCTCAGGGATGGACTATATGAAACGATTTCTTGAATTCTTGGAGGTCCTTGGTTGTTGTTGCTAGCTGGGTTCTCCGCATATGCGCATGTAAACATGAGGTGAAGGCCCCCGGAATACGCGGCCGGGTTACTCAGACACGCAGACGATTTTTTTTTTCTTTTTTTCTTTTTTTTTTTTTTGGACAGGGCGGGGGTTGAGGTATGAATCAAGCAGCAAGTGGAATTGTTTCTTGATGCGGGGGCTAAAGAGATATATTGTAGTGGGAGGGTGGTGGTGGTGGACAGGATCTACAGATTATACACTTCCTAACCACTTACTGACAACATACGTGTTTACAACGCATAACTGAACTCAGAATGTACATTATATTTTCTCCTTACTGCCTAGTATCACACTTCTATACATACACCCACATCTACCGCAACCACCCCTTGGGACCGCCCCACGTACCGTTCACCAAATTGTTGTAATACACCCAGGGGAAGAAGTTCTTCTTCAGCTGCCAGAACGCCTTCCGGGGCACGGCCTGGTCAATGCCGAACCAGCCCCCGAACGTCTCCTTGGGCACGCCCGCGTACTTGAACTCGGCCAGCAGCACCTTGCCGTACTCGGTCGTCAACGGACACGAGGTGTACCCGTCGTAATCCGCGTCGGGCGCCTTGCCCTCGGAGGCGCGCAGCAGGTTGCGTACCAGAACGGGCGCCTCAGCGGTGATGGCCGCCGTCGTCTTGGAAGTGGGCAGACTGGAGGCGTCGCCAATCGACCAGACGTTCTTGAACTTCTTGTGCTGGGTGGTGGCGTTGTCCACATCCACGAAACCCGCCGCGTCGGCCAGGGGCGAGTTCTTCACGAACGCGTGGGGTCCCATCTTGGGGACGACGTGCAGCAGGTCGAACTGGCGCTGCACCTGGGCGCCCGACCCGTCGCCCTTGGCGAAGGTGGCCGTGTTGCCCTCGACGGCCACCAGATCGTGCTGGAACAGCCCCTCGACGCCGCGCTCCTGGCGCAGCGCCTCCAGCGCGGCACTGTACTTGGGCACGCCGAACATACCGGGCAGCCCCGTGGCGAAGCTGATCTGGATAGCGGACTGGGCCGGGTTGGCGGGGTCGTAGAGCCCGGCCTGCTTCCAGTGGTCGAGGGCCAGCCACATGATCTTCTGCGGGGCGCCGGCGCACTTGAGCACGCCGGCGGGCTGAGTGAACAGCGCCTTGCCGCCCTTCAGCTTGTTCAGGGTGCGGTACACCTTGTCGACGTGCTCATACCCGTAGATCGACGAGACGAGGCTGTTGGGGTCGGCCAGCGCCTCCGGAAGGCCCTTGATACTGTTGAAGTTGACGTGGATGCCCGGCACAACGATCAGCTGCTCGTAGCCCAGCCGGTCGCCGTTGGCCAGCGTCACCGTGTTCTGGTCGGGCGTGAAGCTGTCAACCGCCTGCCCGTACAGCTTGAGCTTCGCGTCCACCAGCCCCGGCAGCGGCCGCCGCAGCTCCTCCTTGGTCTTCACGCCGCCGCCCACCAGGGTCCAGCCCGCTTGGTAGTGGTGCCATTCGGCGGGGTCGATGATGGCAATGTCGTCTTGGGTGTATTGGCCGGTGTGGAGGAGCTGGTGGCTCACGTTCAGGCCCGCGGTGCCGCCGCCGATGACGACGATCTTGTGGTTGCGCGTGGAGGAGGGAGTGACGGGGTTGGCGGCGGAGGGGGAGGAGGACGAGGAGGACGAGGGGGGAGCGGCGGTGGCGAAGGTGCGGAGGGAGGCGATGGTGGGCTGAGAGTTGGCTGCGCGGGCGGCGCGGGTGACGCTGCTGCGGAACATTGTGTTGAGGATATCACCGACGGTGATGGTGAGGGAGGGAGGGAGAGAGGATGGACGGGAGGAAAGACGAAGAGGATGAAGATAAAAAAAAAGTAGATATTCAGCGAAATTGTATGGTACCTGAAAGTCAACTGTAAGCATTAAATCCCAAAGAGCCAATTGCCGGTCTCGGCGATCACGTCATCTCGGGATTCCCCTGTTGGGTCTGTTTGGCTTGTTTGTCTGACACTATCCCCGATTCGGCACACCTCCAGCCTATCCGGATTGTTCGATTTGGTCGGCGTCTTCTTCAACCAACTCGCTCAGTCGGCGTCTCACTCTACATATACTTGAATTCAAGGACAGCAATGGCATGATAAGCTGAAGGATGAGATCACATTGGTTCTATTTACAATAATGCATGAAGTATAGACCCCGAGATTCAGCTCGATGCAATATGGCCTGATCCTCACCAATCCATCACCGACCCCGCCGCAACCTCCTTTCGCAACGCCTCCTTCACAATCGCTCCGCACATCTTCGCATACGGATTCGTCTGCACCGCCAGCTGCTGCGCGACCTTGTTACCGAACCGACCCCCTAGGAAGAAATCCCCGCTCGCCATCTCCTCCAGCTGCTGTGCCCCCAGCCCGTCCAATCGCTCCGGACCGCCTTCTCCGTGGGAGTGTCGGAACCTCGCGGCTTTCAACAAGAGATACCCCCGATGCGTGTATGCGTCTGCCAAAATGCGTGCTTGGCCCGGGGAGACGGGATCGGCGGGGGAGCGCGGGCTGGCGAGCTGGATAGCCTGGGTGAGGTCGGCGAGGAGGGCGGAGGCGGGGGCTCGGTTGGCGGGTGCGAAGAGCTTGAGGTCTGTGTCTGTGTCTGTGTCTGGATCTTGGATGCTCGAGGAGGGCAGCGAGGAGGAGGATGGGATAAGGGTGAGGTCGATCAGGAGACGGCGGGCTTGGGCGCGGTTCATGTAGGCGGAGGGATAGGTGGGTGCGTCAGTGATGAGGAGGTCCAGGTCGGTGATGGCTTTCTGGACGGTGGAGAGCGAGGGCTCTGGCTGTTGGAGCGTGCGGATGATCTCCAGCTCGGCTGACTTTAGGGATTCATGCTTCTCTGGGGAGATGTTGAGGTGGGCTGGTAATGTGGGGAGGGTCGCGTCGATGGCGAGAGCGGAGGAGGGAGAGGACTCTGCATCGAAGAGGGCTTGCAGGACGGCTGAGTCGTTGGATGTGAGGGATGGTTTGCAGGGGTCGATTGTGGTCATTGTGAGTGTGTGTGTCTGCGTAGTCTTAAGTTGGAGGTGAATAACTTAGGTATGAGGTTATGTGCAGGTAGGTGAAGGTGGAGGGGACTGAGGACTTCCGGTGGATGCTTTTTCTATGATAGCACTCTTTCAAGGAGCATGAGGAGATAGCCGGAGTATATCTGGGCCATCTGGGCAGAGTCGAATCCGCGTCAGAAATGCGCGTCTAACCGTCCGAGACATTCATTCCGGATGTTTGCTCAAACACCCGCCGCCAGCCGGAGTTGTCCGCCCTCAGCCGAAGCCCTTCCCTGCCTATCCGGGGAATAGGCTGGATTCTCACTCCGTACCATCAAACCCTCGGGCCTCGTTATCATCAGAGTATCCGCGTGCAGCAAGAGTGAAGATGGCGATATCCGTCATTAGATAGGGTTATAAGCTCACCTTTGTCCATCCGTAGAACTCCAACAGCAAGCCTCAGGATTCCTTTCTCATCGCAACCAAGCAACGTCACATCCCTACCTACCTACCCATCTATCTATCTACCTGAACAACCACTTCTATACATCATCCATCACAGAGATAAGCATATCCAACGCCATGGCCCCCATCGCCACCTCCCCTCCCACCTCCCCCTCCCTACCCACAAACACCTCTAGCCTCGCCAGCTACAAAGGCTACGACCATGTGCACTGGTACGTCGGCAACGCCAAACAAGCCGCCTCCTTCTACATCACCCGCATGGGCTTTGAGCGGATTGCCTACCGCGGCCTCGAGACCAACAGCCGCGCCATCTGCTCGCATGTCGTCCGCAACGGCGACATCACCTTCATCCTGACCTCCCCCCTGCGCTCCCTCGACCAACTCGCCCGCTTCGACCCCGAAGAACAAGACCTCCTCCGCGAGATCCACGCCCACCTCGAGCAGCACGGTGACGCCGTGAAGGATGTGGCTTTTGAGGTGGACTCGGTCGATGCCGTCTACAACGCCGCCGTGGCCAACGGCGCCAAAGCCGTCTCGGGCCCGCGGACCCTCGAGGACGCCGATGGCCGAGTGCGCCTGGCCACCATCCAGACGTACGGACAGACGACACACACCCTGATCGAGCGGGGTGAGTACCACGGCGTCTTCCTGCCGGGGTACCGCGTGGAGAAGGGCGATGCCGATCCGATCACCGCTCTGCTGCCGGGGGTGCAACTGCGACGGATCGATCACTGTGTGGGGAACCAGGACTGGGACGAGATGGACAAGATCTGCCAGTAGTATGTCTCCTTGCAAAACATCATGATCATGAAACAGGAAAGCTCTCCCATGATAGATCAACACTAACACCGACTAGCTACGAAAACGCCCTCGGCTTCCACCGCTTCTGGTCCGTCGACGACAAAGACATCTGCACGTACGTTCATCCCCCTCCCCAGCCTATGACCCAACCTGCTAACCTGCCACAAAAAACAGCGAATTCTCCGCCCTTAAAAGCATCGTCATGGCCTCGCCCAACGAAGTCGTCAAGATGCCCATCAACGAGCCGGCCAAGGGCAAGAAGCAGTCGCAGATCGAGGAGTACGTGGACTTCTACAACGGGGCGGGGGTGCAGCACATCGCGCTGCTGACGGACGACATTCTCACGGCCATCACCAACCTCAAGGCGCGCGGGGTCGAGTTCATCAAGGTACCCGACACCTACTACGAGGACATCAAGATCCGGCTGAAGAAGGCGGGCCTGGTGCTGCACGAGGACTTTGACGAGATCCGGAAGTTGGACATCCTGATTGATTTCGATGAGGGGGGGTATTTGTTGCAGTTGTTTACGAAGGTATGATCCCATCCACTCTGGGATGATTATGAGGGGTGTGGGTGACTGACATGCAACAGCATCTGATGGACCGCCCGACGGTGTTCATCGAGATCATCCAGCGGCATAATTTCTCCGGGTTCGGAGCCGGGAACTTCAAGTCGCTGTTCGAGGCGATTGAGCGGGAGCAGGCTCTGCGGGGCAATTTGGTTTGATTTGGAGAAAGGGTTGAGTTGAAGCGTTCTCACGGTTAGCGGATGCATGGCTCTTGTATTATTGCTTTCTTGCTTGTACATTTGAACCGCGGTGGTATGCATCGTACCTTGCATGACGATTAATGGAATCATTCTCGGAGTACTTTGGCTACAAGACGGATACTACAGTGGCTGCTTGCTGCGGATGTGTTCTGCACACCTAGTCTGAGCGTTGTTTCTGGTTTGCCATCCAACCGACCCCATGACCGGCCACCGGAATCTAATTTCGGCACTAAGTTTTGGTCAGCAGGTTTGAGCGTCAGTGCTTCTGAGATAACCTTGGGAAGTCAAATGGGTGAGATGGTTACACTCGGTTATCTCGGCCTCAGGAACGAAGTTGCCGTTGTGACGTCAAGAAACCCTAATGTTATCCTCGGATGATCGATTCAGCCGCATATCCGCTGTTGTTGTTTATGTATGGGGTTAGGTTTGATGAGAGGAGATACAGTATGGTAAGATGTAATTGAATCTAGTATTTTATGCTCAATCACAGTTCATTAGCACAGTTTGGCACTCTCTTTGTCGTTGTAAGTGAAGATGATGGAACATGATGACTGATTATTGAAAAGCACACACAGTTCTGTATTGCACATCTCAGAACTAGACAGTAACCATTGCTTGTCACAGACTAAGAAAGTGCAAGGAAACAAAGGGAGCCGAGGAGTTACTCTCTAGACATAAGTAGCAGCATGTAGTATGTTTAGTACTATGAATATAGAAACAGAAATCAATAGTCTTCCCGGAACTGCACTCACCCCGCTATCAACAGTAGGGTTGCTGGCCAGTATGCTCATCAATCCATAAGCTTGGTTATGAGAACTCCCGACCAACATTCGGCGGTCTTTATGGCATGACAGCCAATGAGTATCATAGGTCGTTTCAGTAAACAGGCCGGACAAAGACCGGTGTCGAATCTTCACACAAAGGGCAGTCGCATACCGTGCACAAAGAACCATACTTACCACCTAGGTCTAGCAGAAACCCATCTTCTATTCCAATATTCAGCGATGAAAAGTAGCATCTACACAACTCCACGTTTCAGGTGACTGCCATCGACCACGATATCTCTTCCAAGTTGATACTGCCCGCTCAACCATTGATCTAGCCTCTTCCCATCATCCAGACTATACATCACTCTGCGAGCAAGATGCTAGATATTAAAGACGACGACTTTGCTGAGAAACGCGCCGAGATGAAAACACCTATTCCACCTCCAAACGATGAATCCCCAGCAGCCAGCACCTCCACCCCCAAACCAGCCTCCACCCTCCAACCGCAGCCCCCACCCAGCAAACTCCACCTCCTGGACATCCAACAACAACAGAACCTCGCCCGCGAAGCCGCATCCCAAGCAGCGATGGAGCGCGAGAGCAAGTCCCTCATCCCCCCACCCATCCAACCCATGCAATCCCCAAATCTAACACCACCTCCAACCCCCACAGACCTCCACAGCAAAGTAACACTCCAAACGCACCACATCCACCGCCCCATCCAGCTATCCTCCCAATCCACCACCACCACCAACCCGCACAGCCACTCAACGGCCCTCCCCCTAACCGCCCGGGTCTACGCCCCAAAACCCCAAGGCTACACCCCGCTCCACCTGCCCGTCTACCTCCACTTCCACGGCGGGGGCTTCTTCACCGGCACGCTGGACAGCGAAGACGCGACCTGTTCGCGGCTCGTGGCATCCCTCTACGCCAAGGGCCGCCCCATCATTTTAGTCAGTGCGGACTACCGCAAGACGACGCATGTGAGTTTCCCGGACCCCTTTGAGGACGCGTGGGAGGTGTTCAGCTGGCTGGAGCGGCGCATCGCCTGGTTGAACGGGGATCCCACGCGGGTGTTTGTGGGCGGGGAGGACGCCGGGGCGGCGCTGGCGGCGTGGGTGGCCTGGTTTGCGCGCAGCAATGTCGCCGGGCGGCTGGAGGTGGAGACTAGATCAGAAAGGTTGATTCAGGTGCAGGGGCTGGTGGTTTGTAACCCCTGGATGCCGTTTTTGGATCGGTGGGAGGAGGTCGGGGAGGCGTTTGGGGTGGGGAGTAGGGCTGTGGAGCGGGATACCGGGGACGGGAAGGGGAAGGGGAAGGGACGGGAAACTGAGGTAACGGAGGTGGGAAAGGGACATGCAGCTGGATACGATTTCTACCACGCGCTGCTGAACGTCTACCGTGTCGAGCCGGGACACCATGGGATTGGTATGTGGACGGCGCTGGAGGCGATGCCGGACACCTATCTGTTGACCTTTGCGGAGAGTCTGTTGCGGCGGAGGCAGTTATTGTTCGCGACGCTGTTGATGCGCGAGGGGTGAGTTTCTTTCCTTTATCTTACTAGTCGGCTTTGTTTCAATGGTGATGGATGGATTGGTGTATGCTGACATTTCCACCCCTGATACCAGGGTCAACGTGGAAATGAACGTCCTGCCTGGCTCGCCGCACAAGACCCAGGATCTGGAAATACTCCCGAGCTCCCACCCCTGGGGTTCCGAGTTGATCGAGGCGCTCGAGTGGTGTTTGCGGACCTCCCACGGACAGATGCGGCCTCCCGGGTCGGTGTATACTGCCGGTGTGGTAATCGTCTCTCTTCTCCTTGCGGCGCTCTATTTGTATCTGACTGATATAGTGAACACACATCTCTCCGATATCAGACTTTAGATAGGTAGATAGGCGGGTGCGAAGCTGATGGATACCCTTCTGAGAGTAATTCTCAGTCGGCAACGCAGTCTGGAATGCAAGCACTGTACATTGGTGGAACAAGAGCCTATTTGTAGGCAGACGTCTGGCATTCCGCACCTGGTGGTTGTACACTATTGTTCATGGACACCTACCAAGAGAGTACGAACAACTTGATTTTTAATTTCATCCTGGAGTATGGTTGCCGAGCCCCAAATATATTTCTAAGAGAGAGAGTTTTGAAAGATAGCAGTTCTGGCCCAGGATATGTCATCACTTCTTAAGAAGAAACCGGCGTCTTGAGCATATGCTCTTTATGCCAGTACTGCATAGTTGTAGGGGCAGCTATGGCGATGATCTCAGTGTCGAATAAATGGTATCAATATTGTTTGAAAGGTCGCAGCATGGATCAAGGTATTGATTGTATGGCAAAGAAGTGTCCGGCCACTTGGCTAAATTTCAAACGTAGCGAACCTCAATTAATCACATGCCGTGGATGACGAGTGGAAGCCAGCGGGCATGACAAAATCCCGAGTCATGGAAGAAGATTGCTTGGAGATTCTCTCTTTGTCCATACTGGGATTCTATCCTCGCAATCGGTCATGTTTCATCCACTGTGATCCTTTAGATATCTTTCATATTCCAGACCCCGAATCCCATCCCTAACTCAAACTCACTCCCACGCCTACCCGCATCTCTCTGCACCATCTCTCTTCACATAGAAGCATCTCTCCCCCCTCACACGTCGGACTACTCACGAGTGTATTCGCCGCAGCATCTCTCTCAACCCAAACAAGTGTACAATCTGCCCAAATGCCACCAACACGTGGAAAATTTGATGACTGGCCCCCTACCCGAGTTTCACCGACTACACATGAGCGAAAGTCGCCACTTGGAAAAGGAAGAAGGCAAAGAAACGGATCAAACGATCGGCATGATGGGAGAAACGTACCACCAGATCGAACCGCGAGGGCCAATATGCCTCGGGGAACCGAGTGATATAGACGATGGTGCCGAGCGCATACGACGAGCAGGTCACGATGAGACTCTCGCCCGGAATCCGGGACCAGCCGCAAGGCTCCTCGCCCGCCCAGAAGACAACGCGGAAGATTGGGGCAAAGCCGCTGGCGGCTAGGAGGATGAAGACAGTTGCTCTAGGAACAGTTACAGATTTGTTCGGATCGGTGTTGACAGTCCAGGTTAGGGTGGATGGTTCGGTGGAAAAGCAAACTTGGGAGGGGGTTTCGAAACGGACATAGTGGAGCGAGAAGAAAAAAAAAAAAAGGAAAAAAAGATAAAAAAAAGGGGGAACGAAAAACTCACCTCCATGGACCGGCACGAGCACCATCCATCCCCGCGTCGAGTAAAACGCTAAATACCATCGCGGCACAGAACAGGGTGAACAGAATGTAGATGGATTGATACAGTGGAGAGCCGTGGAGGGCGAAATACGCGACGGAGATACAGGTCGTGGAGATGGTTAGCACAATCCCGAAGTAGTCCAGCTTTAGAAAAGCACGTGCGACCTCAGGGGAGTGGGCATTAGTCGCGTGGAAGGTAGCCTGTGAGGAGTACGTGCTTGGTCAATGATAGCTCGACAGAAAGCGACAGAAAGAGAGAGACCGAGGTGAACGAAAGGCAGACCACCGACCGAAAAGACCAGACATCCTGCTGTCCCGGCGACGTAGGTTTGGACCGCCAGAATGTCAGATAGTGGGACCTCAAACGGTAAGGGGGCGATCCAATAATCAATTGCCAGCAGGATGACCAGAAAGTAGACTCCGGGAAGAATATGCGACCAAGTGTTGACGGATTCATTGTGAAGGTGAAAGAGAGACCAGAAGCACCGCCTGAAGCTATTCAGCTGAGCCCGATACCCATGCTTGATGTACGGGTCCCACTGCATCCACTCGGGGATATCGGTGGTCAGGAAGAGGTCTGGCCTTAGCGGGCCATCGACTTCAATTGGTTTCTTTGCCACCTTTGCTGGTGACGGGGTCAGGATACAGGTCAAGGAGCTTACCGCGAGTCGGAGAGAAGGCATTATGAGCGGACTGCATCAGTTTGTGACCAACAATCGACCTGGTTAAGGAGTGTCTTATATGTATGATCAAACTTCAGAGAGTATGAGTACGTTAAATCAATGTACATATGTGTGATTTTGGACAACGCGGATAAGTAGATTCCCAATTCTTGCGAAGAAAGATCACACCGAGCGGGGGCGTGCATCAGACCCTCTTTCTCCTGCTTCTCTTATCTGAGATAGCCTTTTCATGCTGGGATGGTATTTTTCTTGCCCATCAGCATCCTGCCGGAGATGATTGGCGGGGCTAGTCCCTCAGTGCTCTTTTCTAGTCTGCTCATTGTACTTCGGAGATACTACCCTATATAGTAATTGGAAGCATGCAGCTTATTAGGATAGATACTTGAAGCTCATGAGCAGAACAGCTGAGTTCATTGAGCAAAAATTTCGGCGCTGTATATGTTTGACGGACGTTTGTTCATGGAGGGGGTGGGATGTAGGTAGGTGAGGTAGGGTAGAGTTCTATCAAGACTGTGGGGCTCCTAGCCAGCAGCCTATTGTGAAGTTACGGTTCAGTACGTTACATACTTACGGACCTGTTTGAGCCTGTTTGGGCCGTTTCTGTATTAACAGGTCCATACAGAATGATGAATACACAGAATTTGCAAGCTAATGTATACCGCAGTAAGCATCAACAGGGGGGTCTGTGACAGACAAACAGCCGAGGTTGAGAGCTACTACGGAAGTACGTAAGCACTAAGCGATACCTAACAACTAAGTGACATTAATATGAAATATAAGGTCCGCGTATCTTGCGCCGAGCCTCGTAATCATCTTCTGTTCTTGACCTGTTATCCATCTGCAGCGCCAATAACCGTCATGTCGCCCGCTTACAAGATTGCCGTCATTCAACTACACGTCAAGGTAAGCGAGTTTGCTTTCCTGCGTCGATGAAACACGCAGCTCCACAATGTTGGAAAACCAGGTGGGCCTTACTGATTTGATGCCTTGTCGTGGCCCGTTTCGCGCGGTTAAAGCCCCTCAAACCGGCCGACAACTTTGCCCGGGCGGAGAGATTCATCCTTGATGCCGCAGCACAGGGTTGTCATCTGGCTGTTTTACCCGAATTCCATCTAACCAACTGGGTTCCCACCGACCCGCGATTCGCGGTACTTTGCGATGAATGGGAGACATATCTGCGCCGCTACCAGGCTCTAGCAAAGGCGTGTAATATCTGCATTGTGCCGGGGTCTATCGTCCGCCCAGTTTCAGCATCCTCCAGCCCAGGTGGTGGTGGTGATGATGATGATGATGATGATGATGTTGATGGTGGGGTTAACAACGACGATAAAAATAGCAGCAGCAACGACAACAACAACCACCCTGAACCCCGTCTGGAGAACGTCACCTTTTTCATCTCCAACGCTGGGGAGGTCCTGGGATCCTACGTGAAAAAGAACCTCTGGGGACCCACGGAGCGCGCACACCTGCGCACTTCTGGGGACAGCCCGCACAGGGTGATCGCGACCCCGCTGGGTCCCGTCGGGCTGCTTGTCTGCTGGGATCTCGCCTTCCCCGAGGCGTGGAGGGAGCTTGTGAGGCAAGGGGCCAAGATCATCATCGTCCCTACGCTGTGGACCCGTAGCGGAGCCTCCGACGCCGGCCGCCGGCAAAACCCGTCCGCCCCCTCCTTGTTCCTTGACAGCATCCTGACTGCACGCACGTTCGAAAATACCTGTGCTGTGGTCTTCGCCAACGCGGGTGGGCCCCCGGGCCGGAACTACTGCGGTCTCTCGCAGATCAACATTCCGTACGCGGGGCCGTTGGTGCGCCTGGGTACCTCCACGGAAGGCATGGGGGTGGCCACGCTGGATATGGCCGTTGTCGACGAGGCGGAGGACAACTACGCCATCCGGGCGGATTTGTCGGATCCAGCCTGGCATTACAAGCATACGCAAAGGATGATTTCAATGGACAAGAGCACAAAAGGTAAACTGTAAGGCTTGGAAATTTTCTGGCGGCAGAGGGATCAAAAATTATCATGGACCATCAGGCGATCGAAATTGAACATGCTTTGCTTGCGCTGAGCGCGCATCAAACCAGCCAGTAACTGCAGGATGGGATCGATAGCTTAATACAAAATACTGTAATTCTGATTTGTGGCCAAGGAGGGGGAGGGTAAAAAAGAGGGGTAATACAGGTCAAGCTGAGTATTTTTGTTAGCTTGTATAACATGACTTATCCCTGTATTCTTATCATACTCACTCATAAACCGGATACTTATCCGAAACTACGGAATGACTGAGATATCCGAGGTTAGCCAAGGCTTGGGTGGGGTTCAAGCTTCAATGCAGCGGGACGTTTCTTTTCGTCAGACAAAGCTTGATAGGTGACAGCACATCCATAAGGTAAGTTAGTGGTGGATTCCACCTGGCAACGGGGACGTACTTCCAGATGAGATCCACAACCCTACGTCAAGTCGAAACATTTGACAGTTACGATTTTAACTATACCTTACCAGGAAACCAGACCAAGATGCGAAGACTAGCAGTACAATCATATCATTCTTATTTCAACCGACAACTGTACAGTACTGTACTCATTGCACCTTTTCCCACTGGTCCCCAACCCAGCCGCTACCATGAGTTTTTTTGAACTCAGTAAGGCTGCATTACTTGCAAACGTTTCGTTGAAACCGCGCCTGCAACGGACAAACATCCCTCCCGGGATCTTGGTCTCCATCGGGAAACGGCCTCTGAATGGTGTATCCCACGTGATGCGACATGCGGTCAATCATCGCGTTGGACTCGGGAGAATAGTGCTTTCGCAGTGATATTAGCAAGCAGCCTGCGGTTGAATCTTGCAAATTTACAAGCAGAACTCAACAACGTCTCGGAAGAAAAGAGGGAGAAAAAAGAAAAGAAAAATGGGGAGAAGGGAGAAGGTAGACCCTCACCGGTGCCTCTCTCCGTTCGTACATGCGAGGAATATCCTCCTCAAGATAGAATGTCTTCACATCGTCAAGGAAGAGGGTGGTCCGGCCGTGCTTGCCAAATTTGCCGAGCACCCCCACCATGTTGGTGTACTGGGCTCTGCGCTTCGCATTAGTGCTACTGTTCCCTTGGTTTCTATTTTTTTTTTGTCGGGGAGGGGAGGAAAGGTTTTCTGGGGCTCATGGAAGGGGCAGTGGGTCACGCAACAGAGAACAGATGGCACCCTGGTTGCCAAATACGAAATTGGGATTCTCCGCTTTGCTTTGGTTGTGACGAAGGTGATGGTGCTCCGCCATGTCCTCCAGGGACAGAGTTTCACCGTCCTTGGAGAATGACAGCAGAGATTCGAAGAGTGTCATATTGAGGTTGATATTGTCCCCAACCGCACGATCGTTACGGGTCGGTGCGGCAGGGCAATTAATGACATATTGAACTTGGTCGTCCTACACCAGAAGATAGGTAGATTCGTCAGTGCAATCCTGTAGCAAGGGCGGAGAGGAGGGGGAAGAGACGAGGACAACAGATAAAAATCAAAAATCAAAATAGGAAGAAAAAAAAGACGAAAAGAAAAGGCCAAATCACTTGAATCCCTCAACCAGGATGGAATATACGTACATTGAATTGGTCGAGATCAATGCTTTCAGGCCACCCGTGCATTGCGAACGTCGGCGCCAATACTAACATGCTCTACAACCCACATAGCAAGTCAGTTAGCGAGACTACTGTGGGTGAAAAGCGGGGGATAGTCTCTTCACGTTGTCATCGCCGAAGTTCCAGACTCTGCGAACGGCGCGGGCGAGCTCTGCGTAAGTGATGTTCCTCCCCGTTCGATTGATATATCCCCGATTCGCCAATGCGTTGATCGCAGGGCAAGACGCGCGACGGTAATTTTCGCCGGGTCCGGACCCATTGTAGTGTCGCTCGTAGTAGTGGACCGACTCGTCGATGATGAAAGGGCGTTTCTCAGGAAGAATATGTGTGGGGATCGGAATGAAAGGCTCATTCAAGCCAAAGCCTCGGTCATCGCTCTCTTGAAGAACTCGCTGGTGGTAGTTCACAGCGTAGCCCCAGTCGATGCCACTGGGATGGCAGTGGACGACAGAGACAGTGAGGAGAAGGCCGATGATTGCGGAGAGCTTCATTTTTTTGCTTGTTCGATGAATCAAGCACAGATAAATCAGAGCAGAAAGTAGAACACAAGTTGGTGAAGGTCATCTCGGTCAATTCAGAAAGGCGTATTTGAATGTCAAGGTGGAGATCATTTTATTTCTGCCCATTCTTTCTTCCCAAGGCCCAAAGTGCTACAACTGTCACGCATCGGACCAAGCACTCGATCAGGAAGCCTTCTGGTTAGATCTCGCCATTGCCCAAGTATCCATTACACTCCTTCGGAGTCGCCGACGGTCATTGTAATTTCGACTCAGCAGGAAGAATTATGGATCTGCAATGAGACCTGGGCTGGACAATCCACCGTAACGCACTTATCATGACTTGGCTATTATATCCTAATTTGGCAATACACCCTGCAACATCCCCACCCCTACCACTCCGCTTTAGTGAGAATCAGCTTGGGCGTAACAGTCTCCTACACCGTAAACAGTATCCCTGCTCGGAACAGTGCCAGTCAGAAGGTTGTGGGAGGAAAGGCAATGGGGTCTACCTGAGGATGAAGAAGATGGATACACCCCCCGGAGAAAGTAATGATATAGATCCATTCGGCGTCCCAGTCCTAACGCTTGGTTTTCTTCTTCTTAGCATTATCATTCTTGACCGGACCGTTCCCTACACGGCCTCACACAATGATGTTACTTCTTGCGAAGACTCTATTGCTCCTCTCCATTTGCTGGAGCCGTCAGGCGATTGGATGGCCAATGGTTCCCAGCCAAATCGTATCCCAAGAGCCCACGGTAGCCCTTCCGAATGATGATTCCCACCGGTACAGTCTCCCGATGTTTGATCTTCAACCGTGGGAAAGAGTCGACGAGATTCACCTGGCACGCCAGGGATATCTCTACGGCCCTCCTCTCCTAGGAAACACATCCTTCTTCCCCACCGGGGTGCTAGGCGATGCTATGGTAGCGCGTGACCGAGCGCAATGGTTCAAAGATGTGGAATATGTGACCGATAATGTATATTCGGAATTACAGAAGGCAGCGGGGACACTCATGAAGGTTTGTTGGGGCCCCGAGACATGCCATTGCCAAAATAGACACACCGGCTTGGAGCTAATGAAAGGAGTTAGGCGGGTGGCATTCAGTCGCTCACTGACTACGAGCTCCTCTACAAAGACCAATGGATTTCTACCATCCCCGATGGAGTTGCCCCGGGAATGTTGAGTAATTGGACTCAAGACTTACTGTTTTCGATGGAACGCCTCTCCGTCAACCCGTACGTGGTGCGGCGGCTGCATCCTGAGAACGACCCTCTCCCTTTTGAGATGGCGGATGGAATGGCGCAACTCTTGGCGGAAGGAAGAAGCCTCACGGAGCTACACCGTGAAGGACATCTATTCTTTGCCAATCACTCCTATCAAGCACCCTATCCTAAGACACCCGGACGGTGGACCGCCGCCTGTACAGCCTACTTCTTCATTCATCCTCACTCGGGTCACTTCCTTCCTCTCGCCATCAAAACCAACATGGGGAGTGATCTCATCTATACCCCGCTCGACGAGGCCAACGACTGGTTGTTCGCCAAGATGGCGTTCAGTATGAACGATCTCTTCCATTCGCAGCTCTACCACTTAGCTCAAACCCATGATGTGGCCGAACCCGTGCACCAAGCCGCATTGCGCACGATGAGTGTCCGGCATCCTATCCGTGGCTATCTTGATCGCTGTATGAGCATTCCCTTTTTCCCTATGAATTCTCGATCCACCTCCATCTGACTTCTAGACTGAACTGACTCCTTGTGTAACCATTTGCAGTGATGTACCAAGCATACTCCGTCCGTCCCATTGGAGAGGAGTTTCTCTTCGACGATGGAGGGTTCTACGATAGTTCCTTTGCGGTGCCAAACTGGGCGGGCAAGAGATTCGCGACAGAGGCTTATTGGGGCCATGCGGGCCACTTTAGGGCAGCGGGGTTCTACCGGGACTTTGCGGACCGGGGGCTGGTCGACTGTACGTATGGGCCGGCACTGAAGTCGCTTCCGTTCTTCGAGACGGTGGCTCCCATGGTGGCGGCCATCGAGGAGTTTACACGAACGTTTGTGGACACGTACTATCCGGCGAGCGGACTGCTGGGACAGGACCACGAGCTGCAGGCGTGGATCCTCGAGGCGACCCACGAGGCGCAGGTGATCGACTTCTACCCTTCCCCGTTGCTGGCACCGAATGACCTTGTTGCCCTACTCTCTCACATGGCATTTCTATCCGGGATCGCCCACCACGCTCTGAACGGGGCGACGGTGGGAGAGGCGCTGGGCGTGCTGCCACTGCACCCCTCCGCTTTCAATCGCCCACTTCCCGAGACCGAAGGATCCATTGACTCCCTGCTGCCGTGGCTGCACAATGAGACCGAGGCGCTGAAGCAAGCCTCGCTGCTCGTGCGGTTCAATCGACCCTTGCTCGAGGAGCAGAAGGGCAACCTCCCGCATATGTTCTCGGAGCCCAGCCTTTTATCCGAGAGTTCGGTTCGGACAGCGGAGAGGACGTTCCGGACCACAATGGAAGGGATCAGTGATGAGATTCGGGCGAGACAGTTTGACGAGCACGGTCTGTCCCAGGGAATGCCTTTTATCTGGCGGTCCATTGATCCACGCAGAATTCCATATTATCTATGTGTGTAAACAATGATAGTCAACATCTCCATGGACTGACAGCCATGACACTTATGTAACTCAATTCCAATCATTCTACTGATAAATATGCTATCGCAAGTTTTCAGAATAGGGGAGGGAGTCAAACTACAGCTTTGGCTCCGGTTTGTTGAGCCCTGCTGTCCAAGCTTGCTCAACTATCTTTGCATACCGGGTCGGATCCGAAGGCATGTGCGCACAATGACCGGTACCCTCGAACAGGACCTGCTTGACCCTCCAGCCCTTCTTCTGGGCTTCCTGCGCATGGTCCCAGACATCTGTCCAGTGTGTCATACGATCTGCCTTCGAGTACATATAGTATACGTTGCCCGCCGTCGCTCCATCGGAGGAGGAGGGGGAGGAAGCAGCAGCAGCAGCAGAAGAAGAAGAAGAAGAAGAAGAAGAGCAGTCGTTTTCGTCTCCTTCCGGCAGCGCCGCTTGTTTGATGACGGTCTTCTCGTCCAAGAGCGTCCGTCGCATGAGACTGGCCGGGTTCTCGTTGCCGTATGCGATCCAGGTGTAGAGCAGGATCAGAAGACAGTGAACAACTACGGACCCCAGCATACGAGACCCTGGGGGCAGCGAGAAGACCATCGCATTGTAAGACTTCCAGTACGTCCCCTTGGCGGGAGTGCTGTCGAGCACCAGCCCGACTAAGGGAAGTGGTCGGGAGACGAGCTCACGCAGCGTAATCAACAGCTGGGTCGCAGTGTTGGTCCCTCCATTCGAAAAGGTGTGCAGTAGGATCTGGGACATGTTGGGTGATGACATTCCATGCCCACGGTCGGTCTCTGCGAGCGTGTCCAGCACGACCTCGACCGCCGGTCGGATTAGTCGACGCTGGCGGGCGTAGCTGCTTACCAGGATCGAAACCTCCGATTCAATGAGAAGAATCCGGGCAGCCGGGGCAATGGATCGATGCAACTCCGTGTACTTGCTGATATGCTTTGGGGAGGCCCCCAACCAGGTGCAAATAATAATCAATTGACCCGGGTGAGGTTTGTCTGGGGTAGAGAGCCAGGTGCGTGTACTTAAGGGGGCGAAATCTGGTGGCATTGTTGATGATAATAATGCCCCGTTTGCTTCTTTGACAATCAATCACAATCGGTCTTAGGAGATTTTAGTAATTTTAGCAATTTTAGCCAGTTTTAGTGTATGTGACCAGGGTTATTAAACTTACATCCTTGCAAGTCTTTCCCCCCTCCGCTTTTCCGGAAATTGGTGCGACAAGGAATCTTTAGAGAGGAAAGAGAAAACAAAACCCTGACCAAAGGGAAACAATCATGGGAAAAAAAAAGCAAAAAACTAAAACAAAACAAAACAAAACAAAAGTAAAAGAAGGAAAAAGGGGCCTCTGAGGGTTGGCCGTTCACGTTTATATGTTTCTCTCTCTCCCCCACTTTCCCTCTCCCCTCTCGCCTCTTCCTTGTCCTGATTCGTATAATCCTTCTATCCATTCTGATGTTCTTGGAGCTTATCACCAAACAATTCAACAATTACTCCGCATTCTCAATGAAGACGAACAAGGCCAAACAGCCACCTACACCAGCTGCGGCGGCTGCTGCCCTCCCAGCTCCGCCTAATGGGGGATTGGCTGCGTGGTCCGGGGTTTTCGCCTCGTTTCTTTTGTTTGTTACCACCTGGGGGTTTTCGACCGCGTTTGGAGCTTTCCAGAGTTATTACCAATCGGACCTGTTACCCACGAGATCGGCCTCGCAGATTGCCTGGATTGGGACGGTGAATGCGTTCTTCCTCATCGCGACGGGGATTGTGGCCGGACCCCTCTTTGATCGAGGATACCTGCATCACCTGATGATCGTCGGCTGTTTCCTCACTACCTTAGGGCTAATGATGCTAAGTCTTTCGACCGAGTTTTTCCAAGTATTCCTCTCGCAGGGAGTCTGCTGTGGCTTGGGGAGTGGGCTGATCTATGTTCCTGCCCTTTCTCTCGTGACGACCCAATTTACTACACAGCGTGGGATTGCAGTTGGACTGGTGACATCCGGTGCTAGTGTGGGTGAGTCTTTTCCCCTTCCTTATATGTCTTGCTATGTATATAGCCTACGAGCCCAGCATAGGGTTGAAGATCCCGCTCTAATCAGGGTGGTAACCCCCTTTTCCCATCAAATCCAGGCGGAGTCATCTTTCCTATCATCTTCATCCGGCTTCAGCCGCGGATCGGATTCCCATGGACGGTGCGAACGATGGGGTTCATCCAGCTGGCCTGCTCTTGCATCGCCGTCCCGCTGCTGCTGGCGACGACGAAAACGCGAGTCGCCCCGCCGCGGCAGCTGATCCACTGGCACGCACTGCGCGAATGGCCCTTCGCCGCGTATGCGATTGCTAACTTCCTGATGTTCATGGCCTACTTCGTCCCGGTATTCTACGTGCCTGCATTTGCCACGGGCGCGCTGCCCACGTCGACCGCGCTCAGCTTCTACCTAGTCTCGGTGCTCAACGCGGGCTCGGCGCTGGGCCGCATCGGCTCCGCGCTGCTCACCTCGTCTTCCGGAAAACTGCGCGCCAGCCACGTCCTGCTGGCAAGTGTGCTCGCCTCCGCTGTAATTCTATTTGGGTGGGTGGGCATCCACCACTCGGTGGCGGGGTTTGTCGTGTTCTGTGTCCTTTTTGGAATCTTCTCCGGCGTCCTCATCTCGGCCAACCCCGTCGTCATCGCCCACCCGGTCGTCTCCCCGACACCCTCAGTGATTGGCACCCGCATGGGCATGCAGTGGTTTGCCACCAGCTTGGGCGTGCTGGTGGGGGCGCCCATCGCCGGCGTGATCGAGGGTCACGAAGGAACTGGAAATGCGTTCTTGGGGCTGCAGCTGTTCAGCGCACTAGGAATGGTAGTGGCGGGGGCGTTCTTAGTGGTTCCAATGGTGGCCATCTGGCGATATGATAAGCCTTGATAGTTAAGGGGGGGGGGGAAATAGAAGACTCAGTATATAATGCGGGGATGGGGGAGGATGCCCCGCGCTGTGGAGACTGGGGGCTAAGGAAGGGGGTTAGAGGAGAGGGAGGGGAGGAGCCACAGAGCAAAATGAAGTTTTGCGTGCGTAAATCGAACGACACGATATAACCCAGTGCACGCAGAGGTATGTATATGTCATCTTCTACTGGATGTACCGTACCAAGGCGAGACCTAAATAGCTGTCTTGTCATGTACTGTACTATACTGTACTACAAGATACCGTTGGTGCTTTTGTCCTTTACAGTACCAGCGGTAATGTATCAGTGATATGAATAACATCACAACGCATCGTTGATATTGGCCATGGTCTACTAGATACTCTTCATGCACGAATACGTATGCTGCTATCGCGATTAAGGAACATGCTCCGACAGCTGAAAATATCTTCTCAGGCAGCACTCCTCTCCCTACGCTTCCAATTGGCAACGTCTAATCTAAAATCCCGCGAGGCCTGGTTCGACCGAGACAATTTGCCAGGTAAACCATGAGGAGGAGAAAAGGCTGGCCAGACAACAACCGTGGATCTCTGCCTCGGGGATGATCCTCAATTTGGATGTCGACAAGGCATCCCTGAAGTCTCTTCGTCAATGTAACTCGGCTAATATCAGGTCAGTGGGCCTTGGGAAACCCCCCTCTCCCCTCCCCAACACCATGGGCGAGGGGAGGTCGAAAGAGGGGCACAGAGTTTGGGGAGCAGAGAGAGCATAAAAAGGGAAGGTGGAACTTGGTCACTCAGCCCTCACCACAGCAGAATCTCTTCAAGTCTCGATTGTACCGTTTTTATCTCTCTCGTCCTCTTCTTTAACATTATCATTCAATCATCACTTCCCTTCTAAGTCCCCCGCCGCCCCCAAAAATGGATTTCTACAAGTCTTTCCCTAGTGACCTGCACCTTCCTCCTCATTTGCTTTCGGCTATTCAGAGGCCTACGGTCCTGGTGGGCGTTGCCTGTCTATTCTTATTCTCCCAGCTTCTGATCTGGACGGCCCATCGCTCTCGTCGAAAGACGACCGCGAAAGGATTGGCCGAAATCCCCGGACCCTCGGGGTGGCCCCTGATTGGAATCGGTCTCGATCTTCCGGCCCGGCCCCGGGTGCTTTTGAGCCGTTGGCGTACCCAGTTTGGAGACACTTTCAAGGTTCGCGTCGGCTGGTATAATTGGGTCTTCTTCAACAGCCCCGACGCGGTGAAGGAAGTCTTCGACCGGCAAGCGGCCGTGACCTCGGGCAAGCCCCCGCTCCCCATTGCGCAGGAGTACTGCCTGCGCGGGGATGGGATCCTGCCGATGACCTACAGCACCAAATGGAAGCGGCTGCACGCGTTGCTCAAACAGCTCCTCAATGCCAAGGCGTCGGCTGCATTCATCCCTAGCCAGGAATTCGAGATCAAGCAACTGCTGTGGGACTTGAGCGCCTCAGCCGGTAAGCCCAGCAGCACAGACTTTTACATGCACATCCGTCGCATGACCTTTTCCATCGTCATGACCTCGGCGTACGGGCAGCGGATCCCGCAGTGGGACTGTCAGGAGGTGCGCGACGTATACGGGAACATGCGGATGCTGTCAATCATCCTGAGCCCTGGGATGTTCTGGATCGACGTGTTTCCCGCCCTGAATTGGCTCCCCCGATTTCTCTTCCCCTCATGGCCCAAGGCCAAGCTCATGGCAGCGAAGATGCACGACAATAAGATGCGCCACTGGAACCACCTCAAGGCCCGAATCGCGGCAGGCAACGCCCCGGACTGTTTTGCCAGGGATCTCATGGAGTCTTCCAATTACCGGGAACACGAACTGGCCGAGGAGACGGTCTCGTGGCTGGCAAGCGCGGTGCCGGAGGCCGGGGCGGAGACGACGGCGAGCGCGTTGAACGGGATGATTCGGTACCTGGCCATGTTCCCGGAGGCACAAGCGCGGGCACACGAGGAGGTGACGCGGGTGCTTGGGGACGGGCCGCGGCTAGCGACGCTGGCCGACGAGCCCGCGATGCCCTACATCCGCGCGGTAATCAAGGAGACGCTGCGCCTGTGCCCAGTGGCCACCACAGGCCTCCGCCGCATGGCCGATGGCGACGTCCACTACCGCGACTACCGCATCCCCAGGGGGACCATTCTCCTCGCCAACCTCAATGCTCTGCACTGGGACCCCGACCGCTTCCCGGACCCCTTCAGCTTCCGCCCCGAGCGCTACCTCGACTCCCACCCGCTCCGCTCCGCCGTCTACGCCGCCGGCGGCGACGTCCACGCCCGCGATCATTTCACCTTCGGCGCCGGCCGCCGCATCTGTCCCGGCATCCACCTTGCCGAGAACGGCCTTTTTCTCGCCGTGGCCAACCTCATCTGGGCCTACGAGTTCCGCCTGCCCCTCGACGAGAAGACCGGCCAGGAGATGCCCCTGGATATCGGCGACGAGGCGTTCATGGAGGGCGCCATCCGCGTCCCCAAGCCGTACGCCATCCGGATTCTCGCGCGCAATCCCGCGCGATCGGCCCTCATCCAAGAGTCGTGGAAGACCGCGCAAAAGGAGGGGTATGTATTGAGAGGTGTTCGTGTTGATGTCGATGGCGGGGTGAGGGGGGTGAGGGGGTGAAACACTCGACCAAACTTATACCACCAACCCGAAATTCCCCTAGCGGGAAATGTGGGACGTGGCGTGAGGAATTCATTGCAAGCAGTTTTGGACGATTTGATTCCTTTTTGTGAGAGTCCTATCTAGGACTTCCAAGGCCAAAACACAAACAAAAACAGAGCCCTTTCCCCTCGGGTCCCCCGGGAGAGGTGCTTAGCTTGCTTCGATGACTTTGAATATAATGATATCTCTTTTTCTTCTTATGTTAACAAGCTAGAACAATGGAATAGTTCAACCGATTACATCGTGTCGACATGTTACGCCCGTTAGTAGGAATCCCGTTCTCTTACTCTCCCACCACCCCGATGTCCCTTCAGCGCCCCATTGAAGAGAAGAGACTCCCAGCCCTCAGTGCACTCCCCATCCCTCGCGGGCTTTTTCTTTCTTTTCTTTCTTTTTGGAAAGAGCAATGTCAATGAATACTTACTGCGATACTTACACCTTAATAGAGCGCTTTGAGATAGGGGTTGATAATAGACGAAAGACATATCGTACGGCCGATAAGTTAGCCTTGACCTCGGGTCGGCTCTTAGATTAAATACTCAGTTCAAGGTTATACCCCAGTATTGATGCTTTCTCCAAGTTTTGTGGATTTACTTGAAGTTGATCTTCACAATCGAAGATTCACAATCGAAGATTCACAATCGAAGATTCACAATCGAAGATTCACAATCGAAGATTCACAATCGAAGATTCACAATCGAAGATTCACAATCGAAGATTCACAATCGAAGATTCACAATCGAAGATTCACAATCGAAGATTCACAATCGAAGATTCACAATCGAAGATTCACAATCGAAGATTCA